TAGTTTAAAAATCAAAGCAATCTGGGAGGATGTTTTTTTGGTATTTTTAATCCAGGGATTCTCAACATGCAAGGTCCACACCTCATTGGAACTGTATACTTTATAAATGGGTTCTCTCACTGGAACTGTATACTTTATAAATGGGTTCTCTCACTGGAACTGTATACTTTATAAATGGGTTCTCTCATTGGAACTGTATACTTTATAAATGGGTTCTCTCACTGGAACTGTATACTTTATAAATGGGTTCTCTCATTGGAACTGTATACTTTATAAATGGGTTCTCTCACTGGAACTGTATACTTTATAAATGGGTTCTCTCACTGGAACTGTATACTTTATAAATGGGTTCTCTCATTGGAACTGTATACTTTATAAATGGGTTCTCTCATTGGAACCGTATACTATATAAATGGGTCCTCACAATGGACTTTCCAGTTGCAGCCTTATGTCTTAACAGGGGACCCATGGCTGCAGCCGATAAGGCAAGCTGAACGATTCGTATCGACATACATGTTATCTAAAACTAAAAATTAGTTCATCATGATGTCAATACAAAATATATCATGTTAATATATCATATAAAAAATTTAAAAAAACATAAATAAAATAAATTAACTATAAATAATTGCGATATGCATTTTTATAGCACAGAACCTATATGATTACATTATAAATTAATGTCAGAAATCCATCCACATAAGCCGATAAATAGAATTCTATGCAACCCTATTTTATTAAAAATGAAATAGATAGTCTTACATTTTGTTATATAATATAATCTATCATGAGCATTATTTCACCATTAAATGATTCTGAATTTTTAAAAATAAAAATCTTCTTAGATCACTATAATTATTAAAAACCTATTAACTCATTATATATTTCAATCTTAGATCAAATCCGACAGTCAAAACAAAGCTATCTTCTCTCCACTTTATTATTAATTAACAAATGAATCACTATTTTCACCCACGGGTCACCTTTAAAGCTTGGGTGGGCTAATGAGCCTCACTTAAGTACACATAGAATCAACTCATATGAACACACATCCGTATCAAGGGAAACATGGCACATTATGGGAATAATCATCAATAGATCCATTGGAATCACATTTGAATGAACCTGAGTTCAGCCAGCTGGTAAGAACACACCCATAAATATGGCCAGATTTAGAAGATGAGAAAAACACATCCATAAATAAATATGGTCAGATTTAGAAGATGAGAAAAACACATCCATAAATAAATATGGTCAGATTTAGAAGATGAGAAAAACACATCCATAAATATAATCAGACTAAGAAGATGAGAGAAAGGTCACAACATGACAAGATAACACTCACAAGTTAAGACTGGAAGTCAGTGTGTCAAAGAAGGAATTCAATTCACACCAGGGCCATTTCAAACAATAATGGCATTCATCCTTGATGATAACTCTTCGATGGGAAAACAATCATATTCTACCTTGACAACAACTCGCCATGGAAAGAACAAAACAGATTCATCGCTAACAGTAGCTCTCAGATAAGCTCCAGATGCACCAAAACAAATTCAAATGCTGGTGAACATTCAAGTGCATTTAGCCTTGACATTTCCCCACTGGCCTTCATCTCTGGGGTCTATCAGGACTTTCAATACTCACACGCAATTAAATATTGTCATCTATCAACCTCATGATTTTGATAAGAGATGCATTTTTTTTTCCATTGCATTCATAGCAAATTACTGGTATAATGGAATACACACTACATCTCTGGACCCTGGTGTCATAATGCCAGCAACAACTCTAACCCTTCAACAAACAATGACGACTCATGATTAGCACTCAGCCATACTTATAGTGGGGAAAACTTGTATACTTTCTGGCAAATATTACAAAACATTATAAATTAAAAACCCCCACCCACCCTTACTTGACATTCACCCAACATCTTTACAGCCACTGATAAACCCAACAGTCACCTACAAGCCATGGGACACCACACAACTCAACAGTCACCTACAAGCCATGGGACACCACACAACTCAACAGTCACCTACAAGCCATGGGACACCACACAACTCAACAGTCACCTACAAGCCTTGGGACACCACACAACTCAACAGTCACTTAACACCCAACGGTTACTTACATATTCATCACCCACCAGTTTTAACGTGAGAAAGCCCATAAAGACCTGCAGTATATAGTACCACCCTTTGTGATAAGAAGAAAGCTATCGGCATAGCAACGGGTAGACAAGGATAGCCTTTCTTTACTGTCAAGATCCGCACAAAGCATTAAGAGAAAAAGTCAGAAGACACAGGCACCAAAAAGCTTACAACATGGATGCTGACCAATAAGGTAAGAAAAACATTTCATTATAGTTGGTGTTGTTATGTACAACAATCATCAGATGTTATCATGCTCAGCAATTTCTCACAGACCAGTTCATTACTTCTTTTAAGAAACATAGTGGAAAGAAAATCTAAATTTTAACAACCGGCCTAGTAACATGGGTTTAAAATTCTCACCCAAATGATATAAAAGTGGTTAAGTATTATGAACCAGTCATGTTATGGAGTCACGCCTAAGTTCAAATGTTTATCATTTTATGCACTGACTTTTCCCACTTAGGGATTTCAAGGTCTAATACAGACGTCTTTTTTCTAGATTACAATCAAATTTGTCAAGGTTGATAGGGTTTTTGAATATTGAACGAAATCTTTCTCATAAAATCTCAGCAGCAGCAATTGATGGAAATGCAAAATGTTTATATAGTCTTCTCTTTGCTAATACTAATTGGCCCTGTTCCATTTGAAGTGAACACTTGCCCAAGTTCTTGACAACTTCATGTTGAAGTGAGGTGTAATCTGGTCATTTTATTTCAAACCGGCTTGAGGAAGTGAGATGGAGATACTAATCAATACCAAAACTGGGTTGAGGGGTAGTGACAGAGTGTCTAATCAATACCAAAACTGGGTTGAGGGGTAGTGACAGAGTGTCTAATCAATACCAAAACTGGGTTGAGGGGTAGTGACAGCGTGTCTAATCAAATACCAAAACTGGGTTGAGGGGTAGTGACAGAGTGTCTAATCAAATACCAAAACTGGGTTGAGGGGTAGTGACAGAGTGTCTTATCAATACCAAAACTGGGTTGAGGGGTAGTGACAGAGTGTCTAATCAAATACCAAAACTGGGTTGAGGGGTGCGACGGAGGGTCTAATCAAATACAATTACTGGATTGAGATGTTTGGGTTATAAACATCGCCTAGTTAAACAACAAATCTAATCTTCATTCAGTCACAACAAGTGTTTGTGAAAGCAATACCATTAAGAGCCAAGCTATATATCCATAAAAAATGGGTTGATTAAAAGCATGTACTGGCCTTGAAAATCACCGGATTAGTTGAACATGATCCACAGAAATGAGAAAGATCTTGAATAAGCAAAGTAACATTTTGGATCAGTTTGAGCCATTAAGATAACCTTAAATTTTCCACTGCCATTTAGTAAGCCATAGTAAACAAAATAGCCATTTATTATTTTTTTGGAACCAACCACTTTCATCTATTCACTATACTATACAGTAAATCGTACAGCACATTTTCTGGTATCTATTTCATAATCAGATATTCATTAGTGATCACTTTTTGATACCATCAACAAGAAATGTATTTTTTTTTTACTTGGACAAATCCAAACTTATGTAAGCATCCACTGATTTCTTTTGTTTAAAATATAAAATTAATGATGGTATTATATGGGTTTACAATGTTGTATAGAGATATGTGTTTACACCGCAAAAAAAAAAAAAAAAAATGTCCTTTCAAAATTTCTATTGGATTTATGAGCACCTTACACTTGTAACACTAATACACCAACTGATTTCAGCAGCGAATCCAAGGACAACCTCAATGTTTTTACACCGCAAAAAAAAAAAAAAAAAAAAAAATGTCCTTTCAAAATTTCTATTGGATTTATGAGCACCTTACACTTGTAACACTAATACACCAACTGATTTCAGCAGCGAATCCAAGGACAACCTCAAAATTATATTACTACAGATCCAGTCAGCAATCTTCAAATTACTTGTGTTTAAATCAAGAGGCTAAAATAGAAGTTTGTTTTCTATTGGTTAGAGTTAGAGTGGAATGTGGGAAGAAAATATAAAGACAATCATGAAAACCACTACTCTATTTTTCATTAAGCTCATCAAACCTTTTCTGTGGTATAGAACAGATATGAAGGTTGCTTGGTAAACATTATATTCACAATATTTTATTAATTTTATTTTTTTAGCCGCACCAAGTTTAGAATAGTTCTATACTGTACAAATGAAAATGCTTTCAATCTACTATAGAAATATATGAGAAACATTGCTTCATAATTCTACTATTTCTGAAATTTAACATAATTGAGGAGAAAACAACTTGGCAATAAAAATTAAATAATTTAAAGAGGTACAAAGAAAATACAGTAGGCTATAAGTCATATTGATCAAGTCAACAATTTGCTGGAGAAAGTATTGGATAATACTACTATTACATCCCATATAATCAATTTTGATTTTTTTTAAATTTCAAATCAGTGTGTTTAAAAGAAATATGTTCTTAGGATTTGAGAGAAATTTTAGTTTAAGAATAATTTAGAGGTTTTTTTTTTTATTATCTGGTTCTTGATTCTTAATGTGTATTTAAAAAAAAGAGGATCCCTTTAACAAGGGAAAATAAAGGATAAGAAAGGTTCAAGTTTAATGTAAAAATCTTCACTTCAAGAGGATGATTTAAACACATTCACATTATAAAACAGCTCTAATTTAATTTGAACTGGGGGAGGTTATGGGGGTTGCCTTATGACATTGTACACTATCAACAAAGGGGGGGGGGGGGGGGGGGGGCGCCCCCCCTTTTTTTTTGTTCCACATAAACAGGGGGGGTGAGGGGGGGGTGCGCGCCACCCATTGATTTTGTACACTATCAACATGGGGGTCCAACCAAATGACATTGTACACGATCAACTATTTCACAGACTATCACAGAAGCTGAAAGCCACTCAATCATGGTTAATAAATACACAAGCCCATGTGAGCTGGCATGACGATTGTGTGTCAACTACAAATTGTTTGAACATCTTACAAACAGTGCCAAGAACATCTTGCCGCCAATATTTTCATGTATGTTTGTGTACTGAATAAAAATATAACTCATTAAATTGACCTTTATAAGTTGTATAATATTTTTCAAGTTCAAGAAAAGAACCATGCTGGTTATAAATGCTTTATAGTAAACAGAAAATTATGTCCATTTGTGACGAGATGAGGAATTCCTATTTTTTGGCCACACAGACTAATAACAGTTGGATCTAACTCTGCATAGCTACACCATTATTTGGCTTGGGCTAGAATGTTGGGCTATTTTAAATCATAAGACTGTATATCCAGAGAGTTTAAAAAAATGTCTTTTCTCATCAAAACTAATAAATCAAAATGAATTAGGTAGCAAAACTGTTTAGTTTTTTTAACCAATCAAATGACTTTGCCAAAAACTAAAGAGTTCATGGCATTCTGTGATGGTCATGAGTAGGTCATGGCATCTGTTGCTCGGCTAAGCTGACATGGATGGGATGGACTCCTTATCAGTCGGGTCTGAGGTATGCGGCCCAAGGCCTTCGTAATCTGGGCAAAATCAGGTCGATCAGCAGCACGGAAAGTCCAACAAGACATAAGTATTTCCTTTGAAGAAAGAACAAGTTAACAGTTCAAAAACAGCAGTATGAAAACAGAACTTAAATATTCCAATGAGTGAATCAGCATAAGCTGGCTCATAAATTCAACACTGACTGTATGCTGCATAGGAAGCTTCGATTAAACTTAAAACATCAAACTATTTAAATGGATCCTATCAACAGAACTTGATCAGGTGTTTTCGTGATAGCCACAATATCTGTATCTCACCTTAACTTCCCTTGGAGCTGTCACGGTGCTGAGAGACTGTTTAATCCCCCTTCCCACCTGCCAGATCACAGTCTCACAGGGCTGACTACGGAACGGCCAGTCGTTGCATAGCAGTTCATACCAAACAGTCCTTGAGAAAAAAAAAAAAAAAAAATAAATAAAAAGAATAAAAAACAAAAAAAAAAAAAAAAAATGTGTCAGCCAAGAATGCATTGATCCGCAGTAACTGAAGAGAGACAAAGTTTATGATTCTCTAGTTATGTGTGCCTAGATTGTATTCATAGACAAAAAACAACTTATTAAAATTGTTAATTTTATGGTCTCAATTCTGTGGCCATTTAACGCTTGCTGGTTAGGCGATGTAAGGATGATGAAGGAATGTCGTATTCCAAAGAAGTTGCTGTGTGGAGAGTTGGCAGAAGGGAGAAGACTTATTGGACGGCCACAGCTACAATTTATGGATGTTTGCAAAAAGAGCATGAGGAAAGCTAACATAGAAATCAATGAATAGGAGATGGCAAACAGCAATGTATGGAGTCAAAAAGGCAGAAAATGTGCGAAACAAAGCTCTTGCAAAAAAAAAAAAAGAACAATATGGAAGGCCAAATCTATCCAGGAGTCGAGATTCTCCTGTGAGAAATGCAGTTGATGGGCCAAGTGAGCCATTTGTTGAAGTGTACACAGCTACTCCACCCAAGGATGCCATTTATAGACATAATTCAAAAAAAGCAAAGTGCTAATATTCATACACAGGAAGATTTGATTTCTTAAACAATTCGGACAAATTTTCATACCAACTAATATTTTTCATCACCTTTCAGAAATATCCATCTAATCTGTAAACTTAGTAAAAGTCTGCAGGAACTTCTAAGTAATTGCATGGTGACTCACCCAAAAGCATAAAGATCTGACATTTTAGTGAAAGGCAAGTCAGTCTGGGACTGTTGCATAGCTTTGAGTGAACGGATTATCTCTGGGGCCAAGTAACATAGCCAGCCCTTTGGCACACTCAGCCAGTTATCTTTCCTGAAAATGGAAGAAACATTTGAAGATATTAAATGACATTAGGTGATGTTGAAGTGAGAACTGCATCTTAAAAATTATTTCAAATAAACAATGTTTTTCTGCATGCCATGAAATTCTTGATTAACTAATGTTTTACCAGAGAATAGACAAGAGTCTGCACAGAGCATCAGTACCTATTATATTTCTGTGGCTAATGATCAAGATTGATTTATCACATACAATTCAGGTGCCCCAATCAAAGTTACTTACTTAGTACCACGACACAATTTTGTCACATGAAAAAGGCCAAAATCAGTGATGATAACTTTCCCGCAATCAACAAAGATATTTTTTGTCCTCAAGTCCTTATGGATGATACTTCTAGCATGGAGGTAACTCATGCCCTGGAGAAACCAAACAGATTTGTAATCGGTTATTTTCTCAAGGGCATCAAAGGCTTCTTATAGCAAGATACGACTAACAAAAAACAATATTAACCCATTCTTCAATTTCTCACTAATAGGACAAGAAAATTAACATCATGTTAGGAGCTGAAAACATTTCAATAAAACTCAGACAACCTTTGGGACCCAATTTATAGTACCGGTATATGTAGCTTTATTTCATCAAAGGATTCTAAATGAAATATGACATGTGAATGAAAAGCAAGCCTATTCCATAATAATCACCTTTGATGCAAAAGAGAATAATATGAAAAATGATTTTTTTTTTTTTTATAAGTCTTTATTTGCAAAGATCAATCATGCATGATGGATTTTAAAAAAATTACAATGTTGATCATGTGCAGCGATCTTCAATTTAAAAGAAAACATTTAGGAGCCCAATGGCAATATAGTAATGAGACCTCAATGTAGTAAAATTTCATTTGTGAAAATCTATATCCTGTCTATTTAACAAAGCAAGTCTTCATCTCCACTGACCTGAGCTATCTGTGAGGCTACAGTAATGGCCTTGTTAATCTTGATTGTGGTCTTGTTTAGGTGTATCATGGTGTACAATGTCTGACCTTTACAAAAACTAAACATAGGAGAGAAAAATTGTAAATAAGGAATGTAACAAACTTCACTAAATGCACAGAAATTAATTTATGCAAATGTTTACAGCAGTGGTTTTTATACCTATCAGTCGCCAGAATTGTTTTTGCCAAATGTATGGCCATCAACACATGGTCCAATCTAATCATGTAGTGAGAGGGTGCCAGTTAGGAGTAAAATTGCTTTTCTGGTAACCGAAGAACAAGGTTAACATATTTAAGTAGCCATGCCATTTTTACACTGCTTTTTAATGTTGGGTCCAGATGTAAAATAAGAAGAAGCTGATTTCGCAATAACTTTTTAAAAGTAAACTATTCCTTTATCGAGGTTTAAGAAGTGTGTTATTCAACAATTTTGTCTACAGATTTGATTTCTGGTTACTTTAAATAAAACATAATTTTTATTTCATAATATTGATTTACAAAACTGTTGCAGAAAACACTGTGTAAACAAAGGATTTTGTTTATTTTACTGTATCAATCTGAAAAATGTATATATCTTATTTTACAAGCCCACTGGTTAAAAAAGTTAAAAACCCTTGGTTCACAGGAATATTAACCAACATTTGTCATTGCTCTATTCTCAATGCTGCAGGAAATTAAGAATCAAATTTATTTAAAGGTTCAAGACTTTAAACCTAAACCTAATTAGAGTTAATATTTAAAAGGTTGTATATGTGTTGTTTTTTTGTGTGTGGGATTTTTCTGTCGTTAGGTATCCAAATTAGCAAGTGACGTTTTCATAACATCCATAAGCACTGAATTGTATCAAACCTCTTGGCATGTTTCTATAAGATTTAAATGCAAAGATCTTACCTCGTGACTATTGCTAATCTTGGGGGTGTCATGCATGCACCCATAAATAATACTAAATTTTCATGACGTGTTTTCCTTAAAATAGCCAGCTGAAATAAAAGATTAAATCTGGATTATATTACTCATAATTACTGGACTGCAACAGGAAAGGGTACAATAAAGAAACATTAGCATGTCAAAAAAGATAATTACTGTGTTATCTAATTTACAACACCTTGACAATAAATAGTTCTCTACAGCATGATGAACAATCGAAGAACGTAGCAGAGAACCAAAACTTTGTAAATGTCAATAACAGACGGACTTGAAATCAAAACAAAGAAGAAATGGAATGGGTTTTTAAATAATTTTTTAAAATTTATATATTGAGAAAAAAATAAATGTGACAAGTTAATGTAAAATTGAAAGTTGCTTCCCCTACAAATTTGGTGTTAAGCAAAGCAGAAATTTTGCTAACATTCGTTTTGATTAAATTTGTTGGCACACTCCGAATAAAGTAATTACCTCCAATTTAAAAGCTGCTAGTTGAGCCTCATTATCTGTACTTCCACCAGTGTCCAAAAGTTTAATGGCAACATCGCCATGCCACAAACCCCTGTCATAGAAGCAGTGCAAGTCAGCAAAGATTATACATAAAATATCCAATATCAACAAATGCTTCCTTTAAAAGATAAACAATTTATAGCAAGGATGTGATTACAAAAGAAATCAGAAATTCATTGATTTATAATTGTTATAATAAATTAAAAACTCTGCCTTTCCTACCACAAGTATTTGGTTAAATAATAATTTTTTTAATTAAAAAGGCCACTTCACACTTATTTACAGTCCTAATACACTACCCACTTGTATACGGTCCCAATTCGTCCTTTCCCTATGGCTTCACCAACATGGAGATCATTGAATGGAATATCCCACTCTTTCATGGTTGCAGCAAGCTGAAAGAGGAGACAAAAACATGTTAGGAGACATTGAAATTATTTATTTTTTCAATTGAATAGAAATTCAGTGAGCCATTAAATGAAGTTAGCTCCATTCTTTCAATAGTTGCATTAAGTAAATAACTTACACTGTTCTGTCGATTCCAGCTAAATGGATCATCTTGACTGTCTACAGAGTCCACCCTGCCTGGCAAAGTGTGCTCATATGTGTTACTCTGAAATATCACATTTAAATAAAAAGGGTTAAAATGACATGACAAACAATAAATTCAAAGATACAATCTGCATCATCAGTTATCCAAATAAACAAAATAAGTCAAAATGAAGTTTACATCAAATCAATGTGGATTATGATCAGCGGCAGACAGAACCATAAGTAATTTAATGAAGAGCCATCCCATTTTTTTCTAAAAGTTGGAATAGATTTTTTTTTGAAAAATTATTTGTAAAAGTGAATTTGAAATTCTTGGGCACAGGCAAAATTTTTCAGCCCTGATTATCCAAAGTCTAGCATCTTAAATGGCATCTTCCCTCCCATTTTTAAGTATAGTCCTGCCACTCCTAAAGAAACCCTCACTTGATCCAAACACACTCAAGAATTACCGCCCCGTCAGCAACCTCTCCTTTCTCTCAAAAATCATAGAAAAACTCATACTCTCTCAGCTCTCTGACTATCTTCACTCTTGCAATCTCTATCCTTCCTCCCAGTCCGCCTACCGACTTGGTCATAGCACGGAAACAGCACTGGTCCGAGTCATGAGCGACCTCCTGCGCGCGATGGACGATGGCAAACTCTCTATTCTCACTCTGATAGATCTCTGCTGCATTTGATACCATTGACCACCAGATTCTTCTTGACCGCCTTCATCTTTCTTTTGGACTTACTGGCTCAGCTTTAAACTGGTTTCAATCATATCTTTCTGACAGAACTCAAACAGTCTCTATTTCCAACCGCTCTTCCAAACCTTCAGCCCTGTCTATTGGAGTTCCTCAAGGATCGGTCCTTGGGCCTGTCCTTTTCATCCTCTACACTAAACCTCTATCATCTCTCATTAGCCACCACTCAGTTTCCAGTCAATCCTTTGCTGATGACACTCAAATCAGCGACTCTTGCTTTCGTGATCAACTTGATGCCACAATCCTTCGCATACAGGAGTGCGTGGACGACGTAAAGCGCTGGATGACTTGCAACAAACTGAAGCTAAATGAACGGAAATCCTTCTCATCCACTCTCAAAACAAACCTCTCCCTCCATCCGCTCCTTCTTCTATATCTATTTGCAACTCTGACATCACACTCTCTTCCTCTGCCAGAAACCTTGGAGTCACGCTTACAGACACACTCTCCATGGACAAACATGTCACGAATATATGTAGATCAGCATATAACAAAATTAGAAAAATCAGTACCATGAGACACCTCCTCTCCTTTGATGCCAAAAAAACTCTCGTCTCTTCACTCATTCTTTCAAAATTTGACTACTGTAACCCTCTTCTCACAGGCATTCCTCAACACCACATAGACAAACTTCAGAAGGCACAGAACTCAGCTTGCAGACTCATTTTTAAATCAAAGAAACATGACCACATTCAACCACACATGCTGCAACTCCACTGGCTTCCAATATCCTCTCGCATCAAGTACAAGTCTGCCAATCTATGCTTCAACTCGTTCACTGACCCTCACTTTCCTGTCTATCTTTCTGAACTGTTGCTTCCTTACATCCCCACAAGACAACTACGCTCTTCCATTGATAATAGAACCCTCTCAATCCCAAGAACAAAAACTAAGACCATCGGTGAACGCTCCTTCTACTTCTATGGGCCCACGTTCTGGAACCAGCTCCCCTTCCATACCCGTCATTGTGAAACCTCGTCCACTTTTAAAAAGTCCCTTAAAACCCATCTGTTTAGGTCCGCCAATGACCTGTGATGCACCCTCCTCGCCCTGCCTCATTTTCTGTTCCTGTAGTATAGGCCAAAACGTGCCAAAGTGTCCTCGTTATATAGCCATTTTAATTGTTTCTATTGTCTAGTAGTTACTATCCTAGTGTCTCATTTTTATTTTACTTAGTTTACATGTTTTTAATAATTGTAAAGCGCTTAGAGCTTTAAGGTAAGCGCTATATAAAAAATGCCTAAATAAATAAATAAATATGTATGAAGCTGCCATGTAGAAAATTGAAATATATAAATCAGAGATGGGGAAAGCCTGAAAGATAATCACACTAAACGACTAATGTTTTGACCGAAAGGCCTTCAACAACAGTCATAGGCGTAAAATTGCAAGTGTAAAACTGGGTCGGGCAGAGACAAATAAGAACAGAGAGTGATAACTATGCACAAGGGAAATGTCACAGCTCAGTGAGCATAAACTGTCAACATAAAAAGATATGCACAAGAGGGGGTAAATAGCAACTTACATCAATTAAAGTTCTATCACTGTCATTGGATGTGTTTGTACTCACAACATCTCTGCCAAACAGATAAGAATGCACAAATTAATGCACAAAAATGAAAGTAAAACATCATTTAAATTTTTTTTGTTGCTATTTCATTAAATTGAACTTTCTAAAACAAAATGCAGTTTTTGTTACTGGTAGGTGGCAAATTAATTGGGCCTAAAATAAAATATTTTCATACACAAAATGTTTGATAAAGTAAAAAAGAACAATACATTTATGAAAATAATTATTTATATGACATCTTTTTTTCTAAGACAACATTTCTTTAAGGAAATATATTTTGCAAACATCTTACAAGTCAGGAGAGTTGTTCCCCACGGTCTGAGCATAATCAGCAGGAAGAGTGGAGACAACATCTGAAACATCTGGTTTTTAAAAAAAACTTAAGGTGTTATTTATTTTTGAAGTTTGAATAATCAGGACCAAACACTTCTGTTTGTAAAATATATTGGGAAAATAAAAATACTAATTCAGGGTGAGGGCATGTAAAAACACCATGTACCTAAAACACACAAGGTTTCTTTTCTTAAATTTTTTTTTCTTGTTAAATGTTAGTTTTAACTAGCTTCATTACAAGTCTTCACAACTTGTAACATACTTAAAAAAACAACTCACGTGTATTTCCCCTACAGTAAACAGTCATATAACCTGAATTCAAAGTAATGGAATTTATAGCTAGCAGCATATTCAGCAGATAATGCATACTGCTATGCAAGAAATCTTTCTAACTATGCATGTAGGTTTTTTTTAAATTTAAGTTATTATTAATTTATAGCTAGCAGCATATTCAGCAGATAATGCATACTGCTACGCAAGAAATCTTTCTAGCTATGCATGTAAGTTTTTAAAAATTTAAGTTATAGTTAATTTATAGCTAGCAGCATATTCAGCAGATAATGCATACTGCCATACAAGAAATCTTTCTAACTATTCATGTAAGTTTTAAAAAATTTAAATTATTATTAATTTATAGCTAGCAGCATATTCAGCAGATAATGCATACTGCTATACAAGAAATCTTTCTAACTATGCATGTAGGTTTAAAAAAATTTAAATTATTATTAATTTATAGCTAGCAGCATATTCAGCAGATAATGCATACTGCTATACAAGAAATCTTTCTAACTATGCATGTAGGTTTTAAAAAATTTAAGTTGTTATTAGGTGTCTTTGTTTTTATAAAATTTCAAAACTTTGCAATTTATGACATTATTTAATCTGCAACTGCAAATCATTAAAATAAAAATGTATGCATTCACTTAAAGGTTAAAACAAATAGCAATTTCTATTATCACAACATTAATTAAATTACAGGAAACGCTGAAATAATAATAATTCAAAAATTGAACTCACCTGGAAAGTTGAACTGCATGTGACCACAAGGAGATTGAGCAGGAGAAGGAGATGTGATGGTATCGGAGGATGTTTGGTGGTACACAGGAGATGACGGGGAAGAGGAATTACATGAAGATGTATTGGAACCGGAGTCGGGTGGGTGACCACCAGGAAAACTAGGCATTGATGTAACTGGCTTCAGGCCCTCATAATCTTTAGAGTGTGGATTATAGATATTTGTCTTTGTCAGGCGACGCTGAGACATGGGAGAATCTGCAAGACAAGTAACTGAACACGGTCAAATTAGACCATATTAGTCGGTTAAAAACCTTTACATGAAAAAAAAAAAAAAATTGGAAATTAGAAGTTATTTAGAATTAACTACTGTTTGACAATTCAAATGAGAATGGAAAGATTAGTTTTATCATTGAAAATAAAAATATGTGTGGTTGTGTTTCTCACCTTGCCATTCCAGCAGCAAATCTACAGTAGCATCTGAAAGACCGCAGGTAGGAGGAGCACGCTGGGCACAATCTTTGTGAAATTTTTTCCTAATAAATTTTAAAAAAAAACGTTCAAAATAGAATTTTTAAAAATAATAGAGTAATGTTTAATACAGTTAATCCTTACTCACAGCATTTAATATTAACCAATGCTTCTAAAAAAATGTATAAACTTATTCAAGATTTTGCAAACATTTTTTAAAAAGAAGATAATTTGTATTTTAAAAAAAACATGTCTCATTGAAACTTAACTTACAGGGTACGCATGAATGAACTAAATTAACATTAAATTTTACAACTGTTTACCATTTATTAAATATTTTAAAAAAAAAAACTTTCTTAAAAATTGATTTCACAATAATAACAAGTTGAAAATTAAATGTTATGTTATTAGCCAAAGTTATTAATTGAAAATCATCAAAACATTATTGAATATGGAGAAGATGTTAGAAGCCAACTGCTTGGAAAAACATATCTAAGTTTTAAACACACAGCTGCAAGATTGAAAATGCGTTTAAATCTCTATATATCTATTAAGCCAATTAATAACTAAGGCATTAAAAAAAAATCTTATCGATTACAATTCCAGTCACATCATTCATTCCAATGGTAAATCATCTCTAGATGGCACACAGAAAAATAAGTCAACATCTGTTTAAATATATATATTCCAAATAACACAAGGATTATCACAAGGCAATCAACATTCACTAGTTCTAAATGCTGTGATAAAATACTAAGAGAGGAGGCTAATGAAAAAAATACACCATGCGCCAAAACTAGCAGTATTGATACTCCCGCATTTTGAACGCGTAATTGTGTTTGTCAACCATGAATAGCTCCAGCGGCCACGTGAACAGAGCAATGAAAATAATTATATGATGGTAGTTGTTGAGAAAAGGTCTCCCCAACTGAGAGAAAAATATTTATCGCTAAGCAATATTTTCGTTCATACGTTATTGAATGGAAATGGTGACCATGCTTGCAAAAAAATGTGTAAGAACAAATTGGATACAGAAAAAAAAGAAAAGACAGCACCAAGTAACATGGTTTTGGAAAGGTACTCGGTCAACAGAAGGGGAAATCTGAATGAACAGGGACTTAATGTGACTTTCTTCAGAGAATCAAACATCCTTATAAAAACTGGATCTTCGTACACCATAGCCAAAAACTTTTATAATAGATCATCCTGGCTCACAGATCTAGCTCTGTCAAGTGCAGTATAAAAATGTAGTTACGTTTTTTATCTGTGAACATATGTATGTTGGTGTCAAGTTTGAAAAATGTTCTTCATAGATTTTGTTGGGGCAAACTCAGTCAGTAACTTCTGGAGAAATGAAAGTGATTCTCATTCTGAAAAATTAAACAACTCCACCAGACTTCCACTTCCATTGACACAATACATTTCCATAACAGCAAAATTTTGTAAAAACAGACACCACAACTGTAACATTTGATACTCTCTTAATAAATCTCTCTTTGAATTGTTCTGCCATCTCTTTTCATACATAGTCCAACATCATAATCACAGAATTTCATACGCACAAGCTAAAAAATGCTTGACTATGAAATTTTTTCCCCTCTGTAGCGAGCCCCATGTCCAACAACTCCCAAACAAAACTTCTTTGACACCCCAAGGATAAAGTGGTTGATGGATCTATTTTCCGTTGACAATCGCACATGTGTGTGTTAAGATGCTGGAATGTTAGTACTGTTAATTTTGGTGCATACTGTAATTTCAAGATAACATCCAGTGTAAAGACAGGGCTTGTCATTAAAAATTAAAAAAAAGAGAACAGAAAAATGGAATGAAAATCATGTGACAACTGTTTATTTTTTCTGACACATCAACATACAAACTACTAGTGTATACCTATCTATTAATTTCAAAATACACACAACTAGTGCATACCTATCTATAAATTTCAACATACAAACTACTAGAGTATACCTATCTATTAATTTTTATACCCATCCATCAATTAACTTCTTCACCCATCAGATAACTTCTTTCTCTTCAAATTATTTATTTGCAGTTTCTTCAGTTTTATTCCTAAACATGTTTGTCCAACACTAATAACGCTAATTGTTTTTGTCTTGTTTTAATAAATTGATCATTTAAAAAAAAAAATGTATGTCTATTCCTGTAACTCAGGTAATTGATGGGTAAATCCCCACCCCCCACCTTCTTGCTCTCTCTAAACTGATCTCATGAGTATAAAACACGACAACTTACTTGTGAGACGGTTTGTCTTGCCTGGTAGTATCTTGATATTGATTACTTACTTGCAATTTGTACAGGTTTTCCCACGAATGGCAAACTTAGAACACACATCACAGGGGGCAAACACAAACACTGAAGGAGTACATCTAGAGATGATTCGGGGATGTGGAGAGAGAGACAACAAAATGGAGATACGATATCAAACATGAAGCGTGCCAGCAAAGTACATGTACAGTGTTAAGAGGAATTCAAGATACATTGGATACAAGGTGGCTATGTATGTGACCAGGTTTAGATCAATTATACATTTGGTTTTGCATGGCCAAACAATCTATTATGAAATATGCAGGGCTAAAACAGTTAATCCTCTTGCAAAAATTTAGATAAATTTACAGAAACAATCCTTTGCATGGTTTTATTTTTATTGAACAAGAAATATAAAAAACAAAAAGAACAAAAGCCATTAACTTTAGTGGTAACAAAAATTTAAAAAAATAATTTGAGCTAAATAAGACTTATTTTTTTAAAATACCGAATTAATTCTCATTGACTAGAATGTGTTTAAATCTAAGCTTAAAAAAAAAAAAGAAAAGATGTCACTTATTGAGCCCTGTGGGTTGTTGACAATCAGAGCATTAGTCATGTGTGTTAGAAATGATGCAGCATTATTCACTGAAAACATTTTCCTATTCTATATCTATATGTCTTGCAAAAAATAAATTACATACCAAATGCTGTAAAATTAAATTATTTATCAAAATCCAGGAAGTTTCAAATCTTAGTCAGTAGTATTAATCTTGAAATTATTCAAATTGTTAAATCTTGAAAATGAACTACTTTTTAAAGCTTTTTCTTTAATAATGACTGGAGTAAATAGAAATATTAATTCATTTCAATCAAATACAAAGATGAATCCAGTCTATTTTTTTCTTGTAAATATATCAAATTGAAAAGGTTTGCACCAAGATATTTGAATTAAAATATATGCCTTTTCTTTAATCTTCATCTAGAGATTGCTTAATATATACTTTTATCAACACATTTTAACACACTCAAGAACATATTGTTATTCTTTCTTTTTTTTTTTTAAATTTTAAAATCTTTACTTGGCAACAGTGGTATTTTGTAGTTTGGTTGGAGGATGACAGCAGCCAAACAAGTGTATGAAGTTTTTTAAAAAAGACAGTCTGCATCTATACACAAATACTTTATGACTTTATCAAGATTTTAGTTCTTGGATATCCCTGAGCAAAATTTCCTGTTTGTTTATTATTATTTTTTAAAGGCAAAAACTGAGATTTTCTAAAGGCATAGAGTAAACACTGTGTACAATAGGTACAGCAGACATAAAGAGTAACTTAAAGCTCCATCTGATTTATTTGGCTTAAAATATATTAAAAGAGACAGTTAAGAGAAGTTGTTTTTTCCCCAAAGTTTTGATGTTGTCAATACACGTTTATTTTTTAGTCATGATCGCATATTTTGTCTAAAATTTGTTTAATTTAATAGTTAATTAAATCAACACCATGAGAATAATACTTATTAAGAATACAATTGAAACTAGGAACTGCTTTTTAAAATGTGTAGCAGACAGTAAAAGAGATATTACCCTGAGAGAGAGAGGGTAAAAAAGCTCAATGAACAATTAGTGGTGAAGAAGCAGAAATGATGCATGTGTATTGTGTAGACTAATGTACAGGATTTATGAAGTGCTACATCGCTATGATACAGAAAAAAAAAGAGGGAAGGGACTCTAGCTGTGGCATGCTGTAACAGCTAACAACAGATTAGTGGCATGATATATTTGCTGGGAGAACAGGCAAGAGGAGGGGAGATAAACACAAGGCAAGGTTCATCTGCTCCAGAGAATGCTCTCCCTTACTTGCAGTCTTTGCATTTGTAGCCCAGAATCATCTGCTTATGGCAGTAGTCACAAGTGGTGATCTTAAACGTGTTTGCAAACCTTGACAAGCAATAATAAACTATCATATAATCAACCGCAATCTTAACAAGAAATAAAGTGGTCCGGCTGAATAGTTAAAGCCAGCAATAGGAAAAGACCTGTATAATGATGTTGTCTAAAAATGCTATATACCCTTATTGTTACCACCATGGAACATATTTATAGTTTGATTGTTTCCTAACATTCTGAAGGAGTTTCAGATCAATTGATGATGAAAGTGCCAAGACCCACAATAATTTTTTTAAAGGCCGTATGGTGACCCTGTAGGCACTAAGGGGATTGTTTTGACTTATTTACACAATACAATGTCTTTACTGTTATTGTTGGGAAATTTTTTTGCAACAGTAGGCGAGGAAAAATATTCTTTCTTAATTAAATGCTTCAGGCAAATTTCATCACTTTATTTGAGGTAAGGCAAGGTTATCATGTTCAATATAAGGACTTGTCAGTCAGTATTCCCATTTTTATGAAAAACAATGTAATTTATACTTTTCCTCTAGCCATTTTATCTAGATTTAATAATTACTCTGGCAAACTTAAAGTATTTTATGGGGAAAATGTTTGAATTGTGATGAAACAATTTTTTTTTAAACATTCTAACACATCCATTTTATGATATATGATGATTTGTTTTTGGCATGGTTGTGTAGTTTATGGTTAAGTCAAGATTTATATGATGACCAAATAAATTTTTCAAAGGCAATTTTATTAATTATAACCATTTATTTTAACCTTTATTCTTTGAGGCTAAGCATAACTTACCTATGATAAATCTGATGGAGGATCTTCATTGGTGTCTTTGGGGACTTTGGTACAGTCAAAGTATCTGTAAAAAAAAACAACAACAAAAAACTCTATAATAAAAAATGTAACATATTTATACTATTTAAAAAGAAAAATCACTTTAAATTAATTGCATAAAAAGTTGTTCAACACAAAACTCAGAAGAGATGGCTTAGAAATTGTCATCACTTATCTGAGAATATTAGAAAACATTGTTGACTGCAAGTTTCAAATTGACAATAGGTTTTTATAAAAAGTCTTTTAAAAATAAGGAGATACGAGATGAGCAAGTTGCAAGTTTGAGCTTTTTAAAGGGCTAAAAAATTCACAGTGCAAAATTTACAGAAAATTGTCAATATTCAAAATGCATAATTGGCATAAATGGAATCATTGTGAAACAAAAATTAGGTATAAAAAAAAAATGTATCTTTAAAAAAAATACTGCAAGGTAGAATCACACAACTAGACTCTAATGCTACTATAACAAGCAAAACAAAAATTAGGATTAATAATGGCCTGCTCCCAGATCATGGACCAGTAACACACATTTTTAAAAATGTACGCTTTTAATCTGCATTAGTGTCAATTGAAAGGTCACAGTTCAAATTTTACTGCCATGAGTTGTCAAACTTTGACAATAAAACAAATCTATAGTGGTTATATTTATTTATAGCTGTCATGGTCATTTTAATTTTTTCTGAACACATTTAAAATGAATTTAATTTAAGGTACCTTAACCTATTTAATATGTTACAATTATTCAAAGGAACATAACAAATCTAAGTGACTGAAATTCCATTCGACCTGATGATTTTTAACTTAAAATCCCCGCTTTCTTTTTATCAAACCTTTGTCATGTAGCACAACAAAATTTAACTAATTGAACAAGGAATATGCTTTTATTGTAAAAGAGCGATACAAAAATTATAGAGAGAAAACCTTTAGGGGTAATATGACAGTGTTATGTAAAACTAACACTTGAATATAAACATATTTACTCACAAACCCATAAATCAGGTAAGAATAATCCAATAAAGACAATTTTTTTCAGCAAATGAGCCTTATTATATATCCAAAGTATGAGGAAAGGTTTGTTGCAAAAGCTCAAGAAATTGCTTAGTTATGAATTTTTCTCAACATAATAGTCTTGAATAAAGGTTCCAAAAGTTAATAATAAAAATAACTATTTCGGTCTGGTAAACAAATATTTACACATATTTACAAACTATATAAACAAATCAGGCCATCATTTTGAATGAAAGGCCCTGGAGCATCCTTTAAGAAGGTGAGGTTTGGCCTCACAACCAGTGCAATAAAAGTGTGTGCGTATCCGTTTAGTAGCAGTAGAGCAATAGGCACAAGATCGGTCACGTTCTTCATTATGAATGATGTGTTGCGATTCATTTGTCCTTTCAAGGCATCCTGTCTCTTGGGCCCTTTCCTGGTGTTCTTACCATTGGATCAAGTGCTCCTTCAGACTCATTCGGTTTTGATCTGCTGCTTTGCATAACGAAAACAAAATGTAGGAATTCACCTGGGTGACTTCCAACAACCAGAAGAAAATTTTATTCCACCATTTTATGGTTTTTCGATCATACACAGAGTTGTAGGTTACTTTCTGAACCAGCTTATCACAGCCATTCATTTTTTATTGCAAATATGAATCATTTCAGGTTTGTCCATTTTCTTGGTTTCGGTAGTATGAACCCTTGCATCAGATGACACTAGTATTACATTCTTTTTGGCCTTTTTATCTCTGAATGAAACACAAAGCATGCTTTTTGGGTTGTTTCATTTCTTTGTGTTGTAAAGATAAAGACTTTACCTCCAGTGGAAAGCCAACACGGTTAATGTTTAGAGTTCCTGTATAACATTGATTTTTAGCAAGGAGATAGTAGATGAATTTTCAGGAGGTGTAGCATCTGTCTGCTAAAATTTTGTAACCAGTTCCCAGATGTTGAAGCAAAGTATGAAAAACTTGGACAGCTTGTCCTCCATCTTTATCCACTTCTGAGTTGTATGAACTGTTTGCACTAAAATATGTCAAAATGTCTACAACATAACCAGTGGAGGAATTGCACAAAATTTTTTTATTTGGTACTTGTTAGGCATACTGGCATTGTATTGTTGAAACTGCCACCTGCCCTTATAACCTATTACTATGTCATCTACAATGAGTTCCGAGTTCCTGAACGGGGTAAAATGCATTTCTGAACTAGTTCAGGAGTAGGTTCATAAAAGGTTCAGTTTTATCTTTGCCTTCGGATTTTCATAGTCAGTGTAGCATGGCGTGATAAATGTCATGAAACATCTGTTCAGCTGACATGGAGCAATAATCCACAAGAGCTGGCCTTTTATACATGCCCATATAAATCAAAACGGCTATGAACTTATCTAGTTCATGTCTAGAAATGTCCTTTTTTATCTGATAAATATAGAACGCCTAAGTGCAGGTGTGTTAACTTGTACTTTTCTTTTAGCATAAGCATTTACTGATTCAACAATGTAATCATTTACGTTATCATCAAATAATGCATTGAAGAATTCAATAGGAGTAGGGTTTTCAATATTTTGTAACATTGGAATAACTCCAGGAGTTCTAAGTGGGTGAATTCGAAAATTCTTTTCAGTTCGTCCAGTTATAACTTCTGACCACTCAGACTCTGTGTCAGATTAGAGTTAGACCTATGCATTGCATTATGAGCTAAGCCAAAGCCTACTGTAACTGGAGAACAAGGTCCATTTGGTGAAATAAATGTGTTGCCATATTTTCCTTTCACTTTTCCTTTCCCCTTGCCTAATTTTGGTCTCTTTGTGGCTGGAGGAATATATTCCTCATCACAATTATCAAATAGCAATCTATCATCCAAATCTTCATCGTCATCATGGTTTTCCTATGAGTCCAATGAATCATCCAAGCTAATTAATTGGCTTGCTTCTTCTGCAGTCATACATCTAAATCTTGAGTGAGAAGACCGAATATTAGTATAAGTATCACTTGTCAAAGCCATTTCAATCAGATGATGTTTGTTTACAATTTTTTAGAACATAAAAAAACTAGCAAATTATACACAAAACGTGATTCAATCCGATAGAAAAATCACAGAGAGGAAGTTGAAACTCATCTGAATAAAAGTTTAGAAAGCTATAAATAAAATATTTGACTGTGAAAGTTAAAACACTAAAGGAATAAAACAAACCAGTGATGACACACTGTGCAGCGAAAGATATTCAGCCAAAATTGGGGTGACGCACACTGCAGCGAAACATATCAAATGGGTTAAAAGAAAGATTATAAGAAAAACCTCCTAAAACCGTTTTTTATAAGAATAGCACACACAAAAAATGTATTCATTAAAAAAAATAATTAATATGCTCACATTATATTCATTTTTCTCTGTCCCATTTATATTTCCCTTTGACATTAATAAAACATTTAAACAAAATTCTTTTTTTAAAATGTTATATATATGATCCCAGTGCTTGCTTACTGGAGTACTTGGAGTAATCATCAGACATCAGAACATTCGGGTCATGCTTGTAAGGCGGGGAGGAAACAACAGGGGATGTGTGACCTGATGGGCCACGGCTCCCTGCTTCAGAGCCATCCGTGGAGAGCCGTCTTTTGAACAAAGCCTCGTGGCTACCACCTAATTTTATGTTGATAGTTGAAGGTTTGTTCTTTTTGTTGCCCCTGGTCAATACATAAAGGTAAATTAGCAGTTTGTAAAAAGATCAAATTACTTGGTACAACAATATTTGTAGCAAATTTAAGGGGCAGCTTAGAGAATTAGGTTTCAGACAAATACAGCCATACATTGATTTCTTCATAATGCTTATCACTTGTATTTGACACAAAAATAGTTCCTAAAACTTTAGGAAACATTGACGAAGTATTAGATTAAAATATAAAGTAACATATTTCTCAACTGAAATAATAATATTGCATAATTTTGATTAAGAAACATTTAAGTTTATACCCAACTGAGGATTCTGAGCTTTTTATGCCATACATAAGTTCTTTCTAAGTTGATAATAACTGAAACAGTAAAAATTAACATTTAACTTACTTGATAGGATCAATGTCCACCACTTTATTAGCCAGCTGGGATTCATGACTCTTGCTCTTTGTTATTGTTGAATCAGGAAATAGCATATAATTTTTAGCAGGTGGGGGTGTAATAGGGTATTTTACAGCTGCACTACTAACTGACTTTGACCGGTGAGGTGGAGGAGAGCCATTATAATTGTGGGGGGAGAGTAGAGGAGATGAAGGGGTGCTCCTGGGGGGCTGCATGTCAGAAAAATTGCCATAGAAGGGTGCGGGCCTTCCGTTTCCACCAATATGTGAAACAGGATCATATCTGTTGTTGAATGAAATATCTGAAAAAACAGAGGTCGCAGAAGAGGTTGAAGGAGTAATCCTCTGTTGATGTTTTGGCGAATTACCCGCTGCAGGACTATTGGTTGTAGAGCGAGATTGAGCTGTTGCTGACACAGCTTGTAGACAGGCCAGGTCAGTGAAGTGCCAATCATGTTCAGATATTGACTGACCCTGAAGAAGTTTTTCTGGAATAATAAAAATTTCATTTAAAAAGAAAAATTGTCTGTTGTTGAAAATATTAACAGCTATTTAAATATGTCATTTGCATAATTAATTAATTTTTACCAGCTGATTATAGATGTTTATTTAAAGGATGACGGTTTATTCATTGTGCATAAATCACATAATACATAGTCAGCAGATCCCCTTGACCTTTGTGTGAAGTACATGACATTATTCAGCTTAACAAGTTACTTTCCTGTCTCCCCTGCCATCGCCCGACAGTTTAATACTGTACCACCTGCCATCGTTGGCTATATCCTCATGTATTGGACCATTAAACATTGGTTTAAAATGTTTTTAGTTGAGTTGGCAAGGCTGAATGCGTTCAACTTATACAATAATATGCCTTGCCCCCAGACATCAAGCCATTGTCCCATTTTAATTTTCACATGAACATTGCCTGTAACCTTAATAAAAGGCTCTACATGAAAAAGAAGACAGGTGGAGGTCCCTGTGCTGGTGATTTGGCTATTCCTGGAACTTATTTGGTGAATCGTAGCATTGGGTTGATTGTATAAAAACAATTTTTCCAGAAAAACGTGTACACCGAGTCAAACAAATGACCTGAAAATGTGTTAGGATGTGTGTTATGTAACACACACCTTTGTGATGAGCTCTGTTTTGCTCAGTTCCATGCAAACTTAATTGAAGATCTGATTTATCAATACAAGTAAAGAAATTATCCTGTTAAATTGCTTTTTCCCCTCCAACCTTTATTTTTTTTTAGTTAGTTTAACATTTCAACATATTATTTGTTATTGTCTGAAAATAATCAATTTCTCTACATAATGAAATTTTTTCCCCATCAAATTGGTTTTCAAATTAGTGAGATGCAATTAATTTTTTACGTGAAATTAATTAGTTATTCCACTAACATTTTGGATAATATGGATGTTTTACAGTCAAGGCAATGGGAAGTTAATGATTAATGTTGAAAAATATCAAAGGATTTTCTTAGCATTAATCTTAAAATTAATAAGCCTTAAACAAAATTTTGAACAAATATGTTACATATGAAGCATCAGCATTTCTTCTTACCAGTACAAATTTGCAGATTTTTGAAGGCAGTTAGCAATGTTTTCAGCTCAGATTCTGAACAGTCAAATCTTCTTAATAAAGCAGTTAAGTCATCTTTACCCATATTCATAAGGTCTGAGAATGCCAACTTTTCATTCAAAATGGCCTGTGAATTGTTTTTTTAAATTATATGTTATTAGACTTCCTCTGAAACTCCATTATTTCTTGTAAAAAAAGTCATGGTATTTGACGTTAATTTATTAATTAATTATATTATTGAATAAACAAGGAATTAAAAATAAATCAATTGCACCATGAATAAATGGTCAATAAGTAAATTTAATTTATCATGAATGTTGAACAAAGCTAATTTTATTTTGTATATTTAGACTGGAATCAACTTACCTTAATAGAATCATTTGGTATTCCAACTATTTTAAGCCATGGTTCTAGCTTAGGGTACTCTTTTAAGACTTCTGGCATAATATTAACACTCAACTTTTGTTTGGCTACCAGTTGAGTTCCAACCATTCTAATGATTTTGCTCTGAAGAATTTAATAATAATGAATGTTCATGCATATATTAAGAATGAAACAAACATAAAAAACATCAATAATAACAAGAGTTATCAGGTAAATTTTCATTCAAAAAAATAACTTGTTTTTAAAGATCCAAATGATCTTAAAATATGACACGTTAAAGAAAATGAGTATGTTGGAATCCAGAGTTAACCCAGCCCAAAGAAGATAAAAACCTAAAGTAATAAGTGGATCATGTGTGCATCTGCATTATCCTGGTTTGATATTGTCTTCTATATTACAACTGGATGAGACTATTGGTTATGATGATATCACATTGTCAATGAATTTATTTTATACAATAAACTCATTTGCAATACCAGCATTGTAATCCCAGCTTTGCAATGTGAACACATTTGAAAAACCATTAGAAGGTATTTAAACTTATTATTTAATTAAAATATTTTATGAAAATGTCATAAGACAACAATTTAACATTAAAGCATACATTTTATATCATGTTTTCTTTAAAGTAGTTGTGATGATAAATAGTTAGCAATTACTAAGTAGGATGAAGATGTGTCCCATTGCCTGGCTATATCAGACTTGTTCAATAATTAAAAGTTATAGAAGACTGTTCTTTCAACACAGTGACAGTCTATAAAATACACTTTCTGGACACAAATGTACATTTTATCTCAAGCCTTTAGAGTGCAATTTCAAAGATTATGTTTCATTCTTCTATCTCATAATAAATCTATATATGAATATAGATTAGGCAAAGGCCAAAGTGAACAAGACAAGGATCCAAGATCTGTTAGACAAGCACTTCTGACTCAATGTACTCAGTTTTGTATATAAGTAATGATTTGATCTTTTCCGAAAAATGATATGAAAATAAAACCACCATTAAGTTAATTAGTGTGCCTCAAGCACAACAAAGGGAATTTCTGATAATTGTAATCATGATTGTATTTAGGCAATGTAGGCATTTGTAGAAAGATAAATGGAGAAATAAAAAAGCAAACAATCACAAAAATGTGTATACTTAAGCAGGGACAACTTATAAAATGTATTTGAATATTTGGTCTAATAAGATGTAGTCTTCGTATAGATTGTTCTTATCATCATTTTTAATGATTAATGTAATGGCTGAAACCAAACTGCCAACTAGGACTAGTAATAGTAAGTAGGCTGAACCCATGAACGTAAATTATAATTCTAATATAGTCCTATAACTCAGGAGCGAGGACTGTGACTTTGAATACAATCTTTACTAATAATAAAATGTATATTGTATGATTATCTTTGATGCACAGTTGAATTATGATTTAATGATTGTCAATAGTCAATTTTAGTGAAAGTTACGGACCTCTTCCATGAGGAATGGATAAAAGAAAGGGAACAGGGTACCACTGCCCGAAAACTTTACCGGAGCGTGCAGAAAACAAACCGCAAGGGCGATCAATGGTGGAGTCTTTAACGCCACCAGAAGAGCCTCATCACCCAGATGAGAACAGAGCATTGTCCTACCAGGAGCTACCTTAATAGGCTGCACCCACTGCGGGACCCTAGCTGTCGCCATTGTGGACAGGCGCCGGGAACAGTAGAGTCCCTTCTAGCCGAGTGCTCGTCATTAGCGACTGGTATGACTGGGGTGCTCCCAGTCAACAACATCAAAATCTTGATTTACGGGACTGCATAGCAGATAAGGCAGGCCTGTATCCTACTTGCTGGGGCCATTAAAGAGCAATAACTCGGTCACTTACAGTGAATGTAATATTTCAGTGAAAGTGAATGTGTAACCGACAAATGTTTCATAAATCCAAAACAAAATAGTGACTAATTGCAAAGTGTTGTAACATAGGCTTATGAGGGTCTGATACTTACCTCGGCATCTTTTATCTCTTTTTGCGTTATTTTGTCCGAAGACGCACACTGTGTCCTGAGTTCCTGCAGATGTTGGGAAGTCAAGTCGATCATAGATTGGTTGGTGGTGCAAGAATCTATTGCATTGCGAATAGCCTGCTCTGAATTTGGGTCTGATGACATTTTCGGAGCGTTGAAGGTCTACAACTACAAACATTCGTGTTCATTTATATTTACTAAAACATTATGACATAATATTAACTTAGAAGGAAGCCTAAATAATGTCTGTTTATGTTACTCAGCAATCGTAGTTTCCCGTCTTCCGCCATGTTGAAAACGCATTTAACTTCCCGTTCTCATGAGATCTTGTTCGTTATTTCGCATTTGGGATAGTTTGTAAAAACCTTCATATTAAATATTTTGAGATTGAGCAACATCCCAAAGAGTTTAATTTTATATTGTCCTCGTAACACTGAAAATTGTCACATTAATTAAGATATTTTCAATAATTTTGTTGATATCATTATCCTTTGACATTATATTAGATACTTTAGTTAAATATTGGCGAATAAGCGTATTTATGATTTAATAGTTTCAAGAAATTAAACTTATTGCGAATTGGTTTAAAAGCTGAAAATATTCCCGGGAACTTTTGTCAACATTCAGAAACTTCAACAACAAAAAAACAATGACCGACAGAGCAATACATTCACCCAATCTCCCTTGGTAAATAAAATATGAGCTGTGTTTATATGTGCCTAAAATTCTTTAGATAGATCTACATTCATTGTATAGGCAGGCATAGGATATCTTCATGTAAAGCTGCGATTACAAATCATTATCACTCTAAGGCAAGGAGTCTAAGATTAAGACTAAGGGGCCATCCATAAATGGCGTCACACAAATTTGCCGATTTTTGACCCCCCTCCCCCATCGTCACAAAAATTTTTACCCCCCCCAAATATAACCTTACAAATCTCAGCACCCCCCCCCCCCTATAAAAATTCCGTGTCCACAATGACGTCACACAAATTTGCCGATTTTTGTCCCCCCTCCCCCATCGTCACAAAAATTTATACCCCCCCCAAATATAACCTTACAAATCTCAGCACCCCCCCCCCTATAAAAATTCCGTGTCCACTACTGTCCTTTAGAAACCCTTGCCTTTAAGGCTTAAGAAATTCACCTCCCGTGGATATCAAATTATAGCACCTGTTTGAGAAGCACTTCACTAGAACATTCATTGGTCTTGGTTTTTAACCAGGGATAAAGTACCTCCCCAGCCCAGAGGTGTCGATGACCAGAAAATTGTATTCAGTGGCGTAGCTAGGGGGGTGTGGACCACGCCGGGATGACACCATCTCCAGTCTCAAGGGGTGGCACCAAATTGAAAAATTGCATATTTATAGAGCACACACTGGTCAGTCTGACCGAATTTCATCAAAGGATAACAGATGAAACGTAAATTTTCCACACATGTAACCAATCAAAATATGTGCTTTATTAAAATTTCAAGTTTGATGCATCAGCAATTAGGCTACCTTATTATTAGGTCAGAAATACAACGTTTTGACCATGTTTCAACGCGAATTTAGTATTCAGTAACTTTTGTAAGTGACAGGAAGCTATATTTATCTAAATTCTGAGAAATAAAACTAACCTTTGATAACAATGGGCAATTCTAAGTACAAGTTACAGTTCTTAAAAACATTTACCTCCTGACCTTCAATTAATTTATTTTTGTTCTTGTATTTGTTATACTGTGGACAAACTTTAACAAGAAGAATTACATCATGGGAAGGGGGGGGGGGGTGTGACACCACGAGCTTACGAGCTTACCGGACGGGTTGAAATCAACCCTAGCTGCGCCACTGATTGTATTTAGTTCTTAAAAACATTTACCTCCTGTCCTTCAATTAATTTATTTTTTTTTTTGTATTTGTTAAACTGTGGACAAACTTTAACAAGAAGAATTACATCATGGGAAGGGGGGGGGGGTGTGACACCACGAGCTTACGAGCTTACCGGACTGGTTGAAATCAACCCTAGCTGCGCCACTGATTGTATTTGCTGTCATTGGTAGTTGTTGCTGCCTTTTTTAAAAATAAGTTTTTATGCATTTTGATTAGCAGCAGTAAATGTTTTTCTAGTGAATTTTCTTGGGGCATTGCTTGAATTGGTAATTTTTTCCCTTGTTTATAAAGGGTTAAATAGAGAAATAAAACTACGATAACTAAATTATTTAATTTTTACAATTTTATTACAATATAATTTATAAGGTTGGGAGGCAGGGAGTTTAAAACAAAGTGGGCCTGCAGCGCTGCAAAAAAGTTTAAGAATCCCTGCCCTACAGCGTTTACTAAGATACCCCCTCCCCCACCCTGCGGTTAACCTTTTTCATTCCATCCCACTTCATACGGTAGGCCCCCCTAGTCCTAATTCTATGACTCCTGTGTCCACATTTAGTCATAAATTCTCACGACTGTTATTGTAACTACATGTCAATTCTCCTCCTTGGTGTCCTGTATCTTGATCTGAGGCCGTTTTTCGGACCGCGGATACCTGTACTGATTCTATCAGTTATAATAGTTTATAAATAAAATAACAAAAATTGTTGTATAAAAGGATAATGTTAAAAATGTCTGTAATTTAGGGTTCTTAAGTGCAATTCTGTACTAAAATATTCCGACGTCAAATTGCTTGAGTCCCGCCCCCCGTCACAAAAATATGACCACCCCCCCTACCCCAACGTGTGACGTTATTTGTGGATGCCCCCTAATGTCTAGGCCTATGTTATGTAATAGTCATAGTCCTATGCCTACACTTACACCTTATTAACTACACTCTTCTTACACTACACTTAGATTCGGCATTTACACACAGACAGTCCTACACCATACCTGTGGCTCTTTTCTTTATTGGTTAATATAATAGTCACCATCCCCTAAAGAATTTTGTTTTTACCCGAGTTCACACGCCACACATGACAGCCTTTTTTTTTTTTCACAGACGTTAATTATATCAATATATAAAATGTGGAGTTGGGGAAGGACGATTTCAAAATGGAAGCTGGGCACACCAGAAGCAAAATATATTATTTATAATTGTAAAATCTTATTATTCCAGGGTGGAAAAATATCGACCCAAGAATCTAGATGATCTTATCTCTCACAAGGACATTATAAATACAAGTGAGATTGATGTATAATGTAATATTAACATTATTTATTATTATCTAATGTTTATTTTTATTTGGAGTTCAGTAAATCGCCCCAAAATGAAAATAATTGATCTAGATCATACTATCTATATATCATCGGACTGATTTTAAAAAGCATTTGCAACTGGATTCTTTTTGGGGGGAAAGTGGTTGCTTTGTTATTGCAAGAGTTTATTGTGCTATTGATATTAACTCTTTTGCTGCTGAATTCTTTAAATTAAAAAATGTACTTTTTTTTCAATGAGCAAAAAATAATGAGAGATTAGGTTTATTAAAAAATATTTAAAATATTATTGTTTGGTTTATAATTATAAGACTTAATTTGGTATCAAATGAAAGATAATTGAATAGACAAGAAACTTGAAATGTGAAAATATGATATGCAAAATCTTTTTTCCCCAAACACTGATGTAGGCATACATCATCTTCACTGCTCTAACTCAAATAATCTAAATTTACTACTATAGGAATAATGTGATGGATCTAAATCAACTTCACTATCAATAGAAATAGTATAAAACATTTCCAAAGCTTTTTGAGCAATTAATAGTCTAAGAAACTTATTCACCCCACTAGGGCCAAGGGTAGCCCTAGCAACAATATTAATAAGGAAAAAAACAACAATGCTTCAAATGACAACAAATAAACCTTGCTTTCACTCATAAACAATGAATTACCACTCTTCTATGTAAAAATCTAATTAAAAAATTGCTCTTAAAAACACAGAGAAATAGCAAAGAAGAAACCATGATATTGAAACAACGCTATTTGCGTTTGTCCATGCCTTTTAGCACAGCGGATGAACGTACTGTGCGTTGAACCCCAGGGAAAGAGTTAACAAGCTGGTAAATCTCAGTTTCCCATAATTTTGCAAGCTCCATTTAACTGCTGGGGGAGTTTAAATTATGACTAATTGTCAAAAACTTTGTATGCATTTTTAGTCAGTAAATTTGTGTCAGAGGAGAGACTTCCACACCTACTGTTTTATGGTCCACCTGGTACTGGAAAAACAAGCACCATACTAGCTGTAGCTAAAAAGATATATGCAAACAAAGAGTTTAACTCCATGGTACTAGAGGTGAGCCTCTAAACAATTTTTTTTTATTAAATACATTAATTTTGTAAATATAAATACATTAAAAACAAAATAATCAACAACCTTTTTAAACTATGATATTATTGATATCATTTATATTTAAAGAAAAATTATTGTCTCTCTAGCTGAATGCTTCAGATGATCGTGGAATTGGGATTGTCAGAGGTCAGATCCTAAGCTTCGCAAGTACACGTACCATTTTCAAGTAAGTTAAATTTTAAAATTTTGTTCATTAGGTTGCAGTATCCCAAATATAATCGTAAAGTTTATATTTACCCCATGTCCAACATGATTGCATTTTTATCAATGAAAGATGCAAGTCTGAAGTGGTCATTTTAGTTTGTAACTCATAATATTTTTTAAAAGTTAACTATGACAATTATGTTTATAATGTTGAAAATAGGGTTTATAATGTTGAAAATTATGTTTTCATTTTATTTTTAAAATTAACTTGAAGGAAAGGTTTTAAGCTTGTCATCCTTGATGAAGCTGATGCCATGACCAAAGATGCTCAAAATGCCTTACGTAGAGGTTGGTGAAATTTTGAAAAAATTGATAGTCAATTTTGTTTTTTGTTCTCATTCACATGCATGTTGTATCGTGTAGGCATGATAATATTAATTACTCTTGGCTACCATTGTAGAGTAATTAGCTTACTGTTATCAGAACTGTCAAATATTTCATGCTTGAAATTAAAACAAAAAAATTGTGATAAAGTATCTTTTATACCCAGCTCTGTGTACCGGTTTTTAAATACTTTAAAGTAGACAAAGCCTCATAAATTAACTGTAAAGAATGTTTCTTTGAGTGTTTTTTTTTTTGGCATCCATCCATCACAATTTGACAATGGTGTAGTATTCGCAGTATGAAATCATAAGGCCGTGGTTTTTTATTTTCGGGAGGATAAGCTGGTTCCCTAGACAGCAAATCGCCTCTTTCTACGCATCTGGTGAACCCAAGGAAACATCATGTGTGGATAATATGGCTTGGCACCAGTAGTGTCACAAGAGTTCCTGGAATTTTGTTTAATTTAATGTCATACCACCTATGGAACTTAATCTCCGAGTTTGATTTCATAGTTTTTATTCTTTTAGATGAGTTGCCATTCAAGGTTAAAAAGTTTAGAATTGACACGATTTAGACTGCGCAGTTATACGGCCACCATATTTATTATTTACCATTAATATTTGAACCATTTTTACGTGCTTCCTACAAAGTATTATTTTGTGTGGGTTTTATTTTTTTCTAGTGATTGAAAAGTTTACAGAAAATACACGTTTTTGTATCATCTGCAATTACTTGTCAAAGATCATACCTGCATTGCAGTCTCGGTGCACCAGGTTTCGGTTCGGACCTTTAAAACAGGAACAAATGGTCCCACGCTTGGAATATGTCATAGCCCAAGAAAGGTTAGATTTAAGAATACAATTATTTTAAACGGAAAACAAAATCAAAATTTACTTGCAATTTCTTTAGATTTTACATTACCAGTAATTCTTTTCATACATGTTATGATTATCAATGTTTTATTTATGCTATATCTTATAAATCTTAAATATTTTTTATGGTGACAAAATAATTTAACAAATATAATTTTTCAGTGTTAAAGTTACTGAATCTGGCATGAAAGCTCTGGTGACACTGGCTAATGGAGATATGCGAAAGGCTCTTAACATCCTTCAAAGCACATCAATGGCATTTGATGAAGTCACAGAAGATAATGTTTATACATGTGTTGGACATCCCTTAAGGAAAGATATAGAGAACATAGTAAACTGGGTCCTGAATGAAAACTTCACAACAGCATACAACAGTATCCTTAACTGATTAAATCACTTAATGACCACCAAAGCATACCTGAACATTGCAGAAAGTTTTATCGCAGTCCAACCGTTTTGTACTAAGAAATCATTATAAATAATTTTGAAAGCATAGTTCTTTTTATTAGCTCTCATTAATAGTTTATTACTTTAAATAATTATCAAATTGGTGATAGCTGATCCACCATTCTTTAAATGTTTTTTTTGTGTGTTTGCCCCACTTTAATAGTTTGTAATAAGAATTAAATCTGCTGAATATTCTTGTGTTCCATTATTTTTCCCTTTATCACTTTAACTCCAAAAAAGACACAATGGCTCTGAAAACTCAAAAAGGACTTGCTCTCAGTGATATATTGACAGAAATCCACAATTACATACATAGGGGTAAGGCCTCATTCGGTAGTCTTAGAGTATTTGTACATTTAACATTGTAATTAATGAATTAATGTGTAATTATTTATTACTGAATCTGCTTAAGTTCATTTTTGAAGTTTTTTAATATATATTTGAAAATTGTGTATTACAGATTTAACAAGAGATTTAAAATGATTTTTTTAAAAAAAAAAACATTCTTTAAAATCTTTTTAAGATATATGCTGTTAGCTCAACAAATTAGTCACACTTTTGTTAAATGTATTTTTTCTGAACAAATGCATTATAATTTCTTTTTTTTAAAATTATGGTTAAAAAGTAACATACTTTAAACTTTCTTTAGTTGATCTGCCACTTCATGTTAGGATGCAGCTGCTGGAGAAAATGGCTGATGTAGAGTGAGTTTCCTTCTCCCAGTTACATTTGTATAATTTTGAAATTATTACACCTGAATGTTATTGTTGCTAATTGATTGGTTACTCATTTCTGTTGTTTTAAATGAACACTTTGGAAATAAGATTTTATTGTTAAAACGTGGATCCATGATCATTTACTTTGAGATATGTTTATACCTATATATTAGAGTTTTATTATGCTTTCTCTTAGTTATTTAATTGTATATTCAGGTCATTGAAATAATGTCATACTTCTTTCAATTAAATTTTTTCCCATATTATTTTGAAAAGGTTAAATGATTTTGCTTAAGTCATTTGGATGGAGCAGCTATTACGGCTTTGCATAAGTTTATTTATCAATTCTAAAATGGTATAATATTTTACAGATATCGTTTGGCATCAGGAACAAGTGAAAAGATCCAGCTTTCTTCACTTATTGCTGCTTTTCAAATAGCCAGAGATTTATTGGCTAAAGAAGCCAAGTGATACACACATAATATGAGTCACCTTGCATTTAAGTTCAGAATTATTAAACTTATTTGGGACAATTATTTCTTGTTTTTTTTTTTCAAATTGTTTAATGAATAAATTGAATTAAAAATAATATTTTTATTGCTATCATTCTCAATCATTTGAAATGGATGTCAAAACATCATAACATGTTTTGTTATTGTACCGTGAAAAGGAATACCCTTAAAAAAATATATTTTTAAATTTATAAAACAAAATATATGGTACATCATAAAGTCTTTAACACATGCGATAAAATGTTTTAGTATGTAAAATTGTATCATAGAATTACTTTACTGTACTCATATTTTGTAGAGAAAAAGATGTGAAATTCACGCACATGTATACATAACTCTTTCTTTAAAATTCTTCCAAAGGAAAATAGAATGGCTAACTATGTGAAATGACTAAAACACATTTGTCAACAGCAAAAAGGATTATTTCATAATCTTGCTTCACTTCTAACTTCTAAATGAATTTCACTTTAATATTATTCTTATAATTGTTACAGAGGATTTAAAAAATGGTGACTGTTTAGTGGAAAATTACTGCCTCTTTAAACGTAATGCCCTAAAATATAAGCAGAAATTGGGAAAGTAAGTTATAAATGCCAAAACCCTCACCTACCAAAAAAAAAAGATAATACATTTTTAAAGAAAAAATATAGTATGCGAGAGTTTAAGAATAATATGCCAGTTTGGTGTAATATTTTTAAAGGAGATAACAGGAATTTTAATATGTGAAGATTATAGAAACTTAAATATCCTGTATGCCTATCAGATTCAAACAATTGGCTAATGGACTCTTCAATGAATATAAGACAAGGACTATTCAACATAACAAAGATGAAATGAAAAATGAGTGTAACGGTACCATACAGTGTGAATAATATTTTAAAAATTTCATTTATTATAACAATACGTCTATATGATGTGATGTATAAAAATGAACAATATTTTCCATATCACTAAAACAAGAAACCAATTAGTTGCTAATTGTACATGTCATAAGAGATTAAACTAGAAATCAGTATTTCCTTATACATCCCTAATTACTAATAATAAAAAAATTCAACATTAAGATGGGACAGCCATTTGTTCTCTCCAAGTTAATGAAATGGGAGAATCAACTGCTTTACACTCTTCTTGCTTCTGGTTAAACTGAAGGATCCGTTCTCAAATTGTCGGTTCAAATTGAAACAGGGGATCCATACGTTGCTGCCACTTATTTCACTGGGTACATTACTACCCTCAATTACCTATTGTTGCCCGAAATATTTTCTGGTATTGCTGGGGTTAAGTTAACTTGTGAGTTAATCGAAATAACTGATCTAAAAAATACAGTACAGCACATTTTTAATGATTTTGTTTTCAAAGCTTTTATTTTGGTACCCGGTACTTGAATTTATACAATCCAAATAGATTATTGATACAAATTATAACAAAATGTACCCTGAAACTTTTGGCATTACTTGAGTTTTATTATCTTTTATTATATTTATCAATAAAGAAAAGCTAAAGAAATGTTCAGCATATTATACCAAATGCAAAGATTTTCTAATTCACATCTGCACACAAAAAAGTTATATCTAATACAAATATAAAGCTAATCATAAAATGGCAGGTCTAAGTCACTAACTGGTCTTATGTTTGTGAATAAGTGATATTTGCCTGTGAATAAAGTTTTATAATAAATCCTGTTAGTAAATTAAGGTTATTTTAAGGTAAAAAGTAAATATTTAAAAAATGAATGCTTAACATATATTATGGTATTTATTACATTAGTTTAGATGGATGGCAAGTGTATGGTCAAATCTTTGTAATTTATTGGTAAAGTGCTCCGAAAATCATTTAACGTTGACTTCTCTAATACATTGAGATGTAATCAATGTCTGCTAGTTAAACCCATGTCTTGATAATACATTTCAGTTCATACCTTTGCAGTCATTTTGAAATTGTAAAGAACTTAAAATAAGTCCAACCTATTTTGATAGATGAAGTATATCAAACATAGCTAGGTAGTAATATCTGAAACAGGAATACTAAGCTTATCAAAACCTTTGTTAAGGCACTTTACTAAATAACAGGAAAATTTAAAATCAAATTCTCCAAAATATTTTTTTTAAATTATATTTTAGCACTCTATTATGGAAGACATCAAACTATGCGCTTTGGAATTTCCAAGACTTTTCATGAGACTGTAATCTGTGTGAGAAGTCTGTGCAGCCCTTGAATTATCTAAAGCAAAATCATCTGAACTGTGAAATGGAGCACTAGTAGAATAGTTTGTGGCCCAGCCTAAACCTTTTGATTGGGCTTCAGCAAGGTACCGTTTTCTCCTGTTTATTTTATACATTTGAATCCTCTCTCTTTCTGCCTCAGAATCATCCAAAATATTGTCCCATCTAAGGCTTTCAAGAGATTTGGCACTAAGGTTTATTTGGCTTGCATTCTTGCTGGGAAATGAAAGTATTATACTGGATTTTGCCTTGGCAGTTGTCTGGGCTGACAGTAGCTTTTCTTTATTACCTCTTGAATGTTTATTACCTCCCAGTCTGCTGCGGTGACCATTGTTTGATTTTGGCTTCATGGTGACAGCACTGAGCGTATGTGTCAATGAAACTACATCGGAGAATTCATTGGCCACTGCTGTTTTTTCATGTTTGACTTCTTCTGAATGCTTCGTTGTCTTAGCTGGGTCAGATGATGAAGATGAGCAGCTTGAAGACCTATTTAATATTGGGTTTGAAATCTTTGGGAGCATTGTAACTCTGTCATTAACTTCAAGGTTAGTATGTACAACACCTGTTGACAAATAAAAGAAATAATGAATTAGAAACAGAGTTATATGAATGTCAAATCCAGCAATGTTGAAATTATTTTAAAAAATAAATTTGGATTTTTAACTTAATACTTATTAAAAAGATTAATTTCTAGTATTGCCATAGAAAAAAGAAGTTGACCAGTAACTGTCACAAAAAATCCTAGCTTAGTATATATCTGGTGTTAGGGCTTGTGAAGTCTGACCTTTTAATTATGTGTAAATAGCAATTTCAATTTCCATACTTACCGGTACAATGTTTTTCAAGTGCTGAAAATCCATCTACCTCTAGTTGGTCCTTGTCTTCATCACTAGTAGCTTGAATTACTTCAAGTTTTTCTGAGCCTTTCCTGGACTTTTTCTTCTTCCTTGATTTTTTGTGTTTAATGTCGGCCATAGTTAATAGTGTACATTTATATAATTTGCCTAATTTTGAACTGATCTTTCCTGAATTGATTTCATCCATGAAATAACTAACTTTGAACAATATGATGCTAAAAAAAAAAAAATAAGACACCTGTAAACATACATTACCAAATAATGCATAGAGAAATGTGTAGGCATATTACTGATCGTAAATTTTTTTGTAAAATGGTTATAAAACAATATTGGGCAGATAAAAATAGGGAGCTTGGGTCAAATCAATTTTACATGTGCATGAATTTTGAAATAAATAAATAATTTTTTAATGCAAAAATGTTTGCTCTTGAAGATTAGCTGCTGGCTTCTGAATATATTTCAAAATTTGTCTGTGCCATTTCGTAACTACTCCATAAACTGTAAATGTAATTGCATCATGTTTGGATTTACCTTGCCTTACAGAGATCTGTTATACTTATATGCTTAACTTATTAAGTGTGCTTTTGTTTGTCTACAAATAGCTTGCCATACTGTGATTTTGAGTGAAATTTTCTAATTGTTTTTATAAAAACTGCATTTAGAGTCTTAAAAATTCTGAAAAAACACCTTTTAACTTTAATAAGCTTAAAGTGAAATCTGAAATAAATATAGACTGCTTCAGTGAGAAGGATCATCCAAATACAAGGTTTCATATACTCTAAAACTATTATGATATCAATTTCAAATAAAAAATCTATTTGAAATTCTAATACTTCCATTACTATACTATTACTATAATATAGTCAGGGCCGGCCTTAGGCCACTGCAACCTATGCCGCCGCAGTGGGCCCCCCACTTTTTTTTCTAATACAAAATCTTAATTTTTACTTATTATCCTTAGCCCTACCCAGACTGGGCCCGCGCAATCCGTTTCGCATAGGGCCCTGCAATTGTTAGGCCCGGCCCTGACTATAGTAATAAGTAATAGGGACTATAGACTATAGGCTAGGTATTTATTATTCAAAATATTTTAATTTTGATTAAAAAATATCATAATATAATTATATCTATATCCTTTTCACTATCATACTATACTATCTACTATACCAGGCCTGCACAACATACGGCCCGCCAGCACCCACTTTGCGGCCCGCGAAGTAATGAAATATTGCTTATTCTTTTGATTTTTTCCAATAGCTTTCCCTCTTTGTCCTTTTTCTTTTGGCCCAAAGAAGTCCTGTCCTATTTTCTTTTGGCTGCACAAGTTTTTCATAAAGTATTACGGCCCACTTACATTTTGAGTTGTGCAGGCCTGTACTATACTATACTCTAATAATTCTATTCAAACTTTAACTTACATGTAATTAGTACAGACTACAGTCAGTCCAGTCTAAAAGTCTATGCCTATACCAACTACATCAAGAACTATATTTATTCTCTAAATACTGTAACTCTCATTAATAAGTATCTATCTAATATGATAATATTGGCAGTCAATGTTCCCTCTAAGGTTTGCTGTTTCGTGTGCAAAATCATATAGTTGTGTGCAAAGTTTTACAGCATCACTTTTATGTGTGCAAAATTTTACAGCCCACAAACACACATAAAGGGAAATTTGCTGCGCGGATACTCAAAATTGCTGTGCGGCTTCTGTGAGTTAGATGGGAGTCCGCGCAGCTTAAAGAGAACATTGTTGGCAGTCTATTCCTACACAGTAAGTAAACTTGGTATACTGAGTTGAATAAAGTTTAAATATCAACTGCAAGAGTTGGGAGTTGATTCTGCTGGCCCAAGCCAAGTCTAGGGAAGGGTGAAGTGAGGGCAAAGAGGAAGATTGTCATTGAGCCAGCCAAGCAATTTTCGAATTGGCTTTTACCATTGCATGTCATAATTAACTATATCTTACAAATATAATTAATCTACTGCTACTTAAATAATAAATCTAATTAAAAAATCTAATGTCTAAGTAATTCCTCATTCTTAATCTTAGAAATGTCACCATCTGATCATCATGTCATGTCATAATCAAATCATGATCATTTTAAAAAACAACATATTTCTGCTTCACCTGAGACTATATTATAACTGCGCATTTTTTCTGAGATAATTTAATTGATAATTAAACACTTTTTTTACAAACCATTTTGTTTTATATTTGACAATTTGATACTTTTATATAATTTAGACTCCTCGACAATTTATGTACTGTCTCAGTGTCTGTATGTAGCCTCATTACTTCTACGAGGACGCTTTCAAAACATTTCGCTTTAAAAAAAAAATAATTCACAATATTTAAAGATTCACTTTTTATTCCATATTTTTATGATGAAATGAATACAAATAGTGCCTAAAATAAGTAAATTAATATTGTAATTAGGTTTCGAACATATTTTCCTTAATTATGTCACAGCTAAATGGCGCATGAATTGGCCGTATCCAAGCAGTAGCATTCTTATGGTAGATGATCCATAATTTAAAAAAGTTAACTGCAGTGTAAAATCTATTTACACTAATTATCCATAATATTAATTTAAATTGTTCCTTTATTCATTGTCAATAATATGATAAGATGACACGAGGAAGACCATGCGGGCGGTGAATCACTGGTCTTAAAGTTAAGGGTTCTCTCAACTCAAAGATAGCAATATGAATCTTCAGCAGGCCTCACACGTCACTCTTCCGCGACGCCTACCCGGTCGGCAGAAGCAGACAGAAAAGGAAATAACCTTAATTAAGTCACTTCAAACGCCAGTGGCGTAAGAAGTAGAAGGGATGCGGAGTGGGCTGGTTTACCCCGGGAGGCACTTTTCACCCTTAAATGGAGGGGCAGCATGTTCAGCCATTTATATAGTTTTTTTTCGTTGAAGAGGGTGGCTAAAAATGTTTGCTTGCCCCGGGTGGCATGAACCCTAATGCACCAGTGCTTAAAACAACCCCGTCCCCATTGTGCCAGGAAGCCAATTTTTTATCTGATAGAAATAGCTTCAGATTCAGTGCAATCTTAACATTTTAGGCCTCTGGAAAGTGTTTTAATGGACCAATGCTTAAAGATAGCACTCGCTTTGAATTTTTTTTAAATGGTGAAAAATGAATGTTGCGCTTTAGACTTGAACACGTTCTGAGAGGAAAATTATTCTTGTTTTGTGTGCTTATTTTAATATTTAGAAAATAAACAATTGTTTTTTACGGTTACATTAAATACATAATATATTTATATTAGCTAAAATGTCATTGTCATTGTAATTGTTCTGTCTTTTCTTTTTCACGTTCCACTATTTACTATAAATAACCAGTAGCCTACTCAGCGTTGTAAGCAGGGCTACCACACCTTGGGAAATTTCCCAAGATCTTGGGAATTCACGACCCCCCTTGGGATCTGGGGAATAATTTTGAAAATCATGCAAAACCTTGGGAAATCTTAACTGGGGGGAAAATTTTGTTATATTTTTCGAAAAAAACGCAACAATATCTGATAAAAAATAAAGTAAAAATAAAGCAAAATAATTTTTAAAGTAACAAGGCAAAAAATTAATTGTTTTCATTTTCTTTTCTGGTTTTAATTTTTAAATCCACTCATAAAATAAATAAAAACTCTTCTGATTTTAAAGTTAATATTGTGAATTATTAAAAAGTTAATAATTTTAAAAAAAAATTCAATTTTCTCTTTAAAAAAAAAAATTGAAGATTTACAAATTACATCCAGGTTTTGAATGTTTATTAAATGGGGGGGGGGGTAGGCTCGGAAACTTTATCATTATGCTCTTAGACATTAGCAACCATACGAAAAACAGTACAAGCCAAAGAGTGAACGATAGTGTTCAATCAAGAATCCATGCCATAGTAGAATTTTATTATTTCAATTACTTCTACAATGTGTTCAAAATATAATGCATCTGTAAAAAATCCAGCCTAATTTTCATCAATTAGAAAAAATATTTGTGGATTGAAACACGGGTAACTAAGATATTAATAGTATAGGCAGTATAGGCCTACGTTGTAGGATTATAAATGAACAATTCCTTTAAAAGTATTTTTTTTTTTGTGGAAAAATCGTTATAATGTAAATTTTACAAGAAAAAATAAAACACTTATTGTTTTCATCGTAATATCAATCCATTTTAACTACAATTATTATTAATAAATTTTGCTTAATTGCTTTGCAAACCCCACTTGTAATCAACAGATTTACAATAATAAAAAATCATTTTTTGATGAAGAAACTTTTGCCTTTGTAAAAGGAATTCTGTGTTGATTAGCCTTGTATGCTTTTTTTTTCCAAGTGACTTCTATTACACATGTATTGTAGATTATATTTTTATCAGAGAATTCGGAGGTAATATTTAGTAGCCTAACTCCAGTGGGTATTGATATTTTGGATTATAAATTATTTTTTTAAAAAAAATTTTTTTTTTTTAATGTGATAAACATGTTTTAAATGTCTTTTTCAATAAATTTCAGTCCATTAATATACCATGTTTTTCAGGGGCATTGATTCAATCTATTATTACATTAATTACATAGAAAACCCCCCTTTAAAAAAAAAAACTCTTATATATTTGTATGATCTTGGGAAATCTTGGGAAATTCATTCACCAAATCTTGGGAAATTTGAAAAAAGTGAGTGGCAGCCCTGGTTGTAAGTCGTAAAAATAGTAGAAAACAGCTTTGCTCACAGAAATCAATCTTTACCGCCACGCACTGTTCTTGATCATTAATGAAATTTAGACCGTCTTGGCTCACTTCCCGTGCATGCATTATCGTTCTAACACATTTGTCACTCCTGTCATAGTTACAAAAATCAAATTTGTCTGTTCATTTCTAATGTTGAAGCCCTGGGCATTACATGTAGTCAGTGTAGTGTTTATAGTTTATGAAAATGGAGGAAATATCTACCATGTGAATGTGGAGTGAAGCTGACAACAATCATGGCACAGCTGCACTGTACAGTACAGGTAATCGTTTAATAAATCATATGAAATCAAGTAATACGTTTAAATAATAATAATTTTAAAGTGTTTAGGTAAGTATAAGTGATGGGCGAGGGGGTGTCTCTTAAATTGTAAATCGGATAATCATACTTTTTAATGAATAAATAATAAAGACAGAAGGGGCTAGTTTACAGTCCCCGCGAGTCGCCTCATGGCTAACTTGGGGGCGGTTTCAGGGAGCTTGTCTATACTATACTATACTGATACTAGACTATTTGAAAAAAATAAGAAGATAGAATCTTGAACTATAGTACCAGTATAGACTGTTGACTATTATATACTATAATTATAATATAGTATAGTACTATAGTTGTTAAAGTGTGTAGGCTATATTTTGTATAGTGTATAGTATATAATATAGACTAATAGTACTAATAGAAATATAAATTATTTATATGTCACATCACCTCTATATCTATCTATTCTAAGTATCTATAATCTTTACTGAGTATACTCTGATTCACCATCATTCACAATGATTGGAGCCTCTCTGAGTGAGTGAATTGGGCTTGCTGGCAAGACTTTTTTTTATAGTTTATTATTAATTAGGGTTGATATCTCTTTCCTGTTCCTCATTAAACAGCTTATAGCCTTGGCCTTATCCCTCTTCATATTCATATAAAAATCATTTAGACGTTTCAGAAAGTGAACCAGATTTAACTTCTATTTACTCGTTAAAAAATTTTGAAATGCCTTTTTTTTAAAAACATAATTTATTCTTTAGAATTAGAGATTCAAGTTCCTGTGCATGGGCTAGGCAATATTTTCATCTGTGGCATTATTGATGAGCTGCAGTTTGATCTCAAGCTGTACACTATTGCAATATCAGAACGGAAAACCAGAAAGTGATGCCATCATATCATCCACCTTAAAAAAGACAGCAAGAGAAGGATAATTTTCAGGTTAGCAAAGTCTGAATTGCTAAATAAAAATTCATAGATTTCAACGATTGATTTACTTAACAATTAACATTGCTTTTATTCATCGTAGTAGCAGAGATTTGTACAAATCATTATTTTCCCTTGCATACTAGAGTGAAATGTAACATTTTAAAACTAGTTGACACCTAGGATGTAATTGAACCTTCTTCAGTAATTTTGTGGCAGATTGACAGATGGATTAATTTGGGATGTGTCAGGGATAAAATGGATGCACACTAACTAGTATAAGTGTTCCACATTGAATAATGCTAAACCATCCATCCCTGTGGTGCTACAGCCCATGTAGGGCTTTGGCCTTCCTCACCACTTCCTTCCTCTCAGACCTAACTGATGATTTTCTTTTTCATGCTTGGATTTATTCCCAGCTGTTGTAGATCTTTTTCCGCATTATCCATCTAAGCCTTGGTCTGCCTTTGAGACGTTTTCTTCTGGGATTTTAGTGGTGCACACTCTTCACTCCTCTGTCATTTGGTATTCTTTCCAAGTGTGCAGCTTAGCCTGCCCTTTATATATTGTGCTACTAGTTTCTGATCCTGATATAGATTATACAATTCCTGCTTGGTTCATATTATCCATCCATATTCATCTTTTGATGGTCCATATATTTTCAGGAGAACTTTTCTCTCCCATGTGTTTAATAGGTTTTTGTGCTATTCTTGTTACTTTGTTAGGGGCCTAGTTTCACTTGTTTATATGTTATAACTGATCAGATTACAGTTTTATATATTAGGCCTATATATAATTTTCTTTGTTGTTCTTGTAATGTTCTTAATTTTAAGTATTTTCTGTCTACTGAAGTATGGTCTGTTCCCAGCCAATATTCTTTCTTTTATTTCTGTTATTAATTCATATCTTTCATTTAATAAAGATCCTATGTTTTTGAATTGATCTACTTTTTCAAAAGTATGGTTTCTAATTTTAATGGTTTTTATCTGGAAGGAAGGACAAATGATTAATACTTAAGATGTCATATAAATCATTAGGCTGAAGGGTTGTCTGACAACCTGTATCTGATTGATGATGATCATAACAGTTATTACACCGGTCCTCAGACATACAAATCTTCTCATTACCAAATATACATGAAATATCTTCTTTTATATATTAAGTCCTGCCTGTATTTGTAAATTATACATTTCAGATATCCTATAAATGCATAACTTATAAAGTTGAACATTGAATAAAGTTGTAGATTAAGCTTAAATATACTTATGATAAGATATTTACAGTATATAAAATGCACTAATGATACACATATTTTAAGGTTGTTATTTTTTTATTCTTTCTCACTTTATTTCATCTAATGTTGTGTATTTTTCCATAAGGTTGAGCTGTATGCTCAGCTTTTTTAAGGAACATATTCAGGGTTAAATGAACAAAGATTTTATGGCACTTCATCTGAAGTGGGTGGCCGAGCGGTCTTAACTGTCTCAAACCAAATGGCTGGTGGTCCGGAGTTCAATCCCCACCAAAGCTAACATCTCAAGCACTCCGGGTAGATGGGACTTGTTAGCCTTGGACGGCAACCCATCTAAGAGAAGGCAAACTCTGAATTTAAACCAGGAGCCAGAATGATCAACAAATTGATCGTGGGCCCCTCAAATATAAGAAGAAGAAGAAGAAACTAAATATGGAAACCTAACTAAGCCAAGGACTAACACGTCATCTAAATGGTTTTGGAACCAATTTCAGATCTGCCAACTGCTCACATGGAAGTGTGGTAGATACAGTATTGTATCAGGTATGTCACCAATATTACTTTTTACTATACACAAGTATTTTCATGTTCTGATATATTTTTTATTAACAGGTGCTCTGCCACCAGAAATTATTTTATTATTGAAATTCAACTATTAACATTTTAAAAATAACATATACCCAAGTTCCAATTATAAATGTGTTTATATTTTAGCATATAAAATTTTGACTACTATTTAAGTCAACAATTTTTGTTTCAGGTGCAGTCCATGATTTGTATAAAGCTAAAATTGAGTATATTCATCAGGACACAAAGGCTGTAATCTCCACTGTAGACACAGCACTGGACACACATTCTATCCAAAAAGTTTTCACTGAGCAACAGCAGTGGTGGAATGGCCAGAGAGGTACTAGAGGAGTAGAAGCTGAATATTGTTGGAAGTGTCATTTTTGTAAGTTCTCTGAACTTTGTGAATGGAGGGAAATAATGGCTGCAAAACAAGGTTGTTTGACAAAACCTTAAGTAATTTAACTCTTTACATTCCTTGACTTTTTTTTAATTTTCTTAAGATTTCTAGTGATGCCACTAAAGAGTCAATATCAGAGTATTTGTCTAAAGTTCAGGATCTTATTTGTAAATATGTAGGGAACTGCATGAGGCACTTATAAATAAATGTTTCTAACCCTTTGAACCCTTGGCTCCTGTGCCTAAAATACCCATGCCCCTAGGCTCCTGGGGAAAATGTCCACCAACAGACACACAATGTGACACAAGCAATCAAAATCGAATGGTTGTAAAATTAAAGAAATTTTATTTATTTCAATCTAAATTTGTCTGTTAGTAGTCCATAAGTATTATAAAATGTATCACAAGGAGAACATTTGTCTTAGAATGGTGTAAAATAGCATAGTAAAGGGTCATTTATACACCCCTGATTTTTGATAAAAGCCAGGACTAGGACTAGAGGTAGACCTTGTGTTGTTTCTTTTATTCCCAAAGCACACATCAATAGCACTAGACACTAGAAGTTGAAGTCAATCAATTGTCACTATTATTGACTATTTGCTTTATTTCATTCCTTTTTCAAAACGTGATAATAATCCTTTGAATCACTTATATTATCATAAACCTACTCTAAATTGGGTCCTTTCAATAGCAATTTGTTTATTTTCGTCACCTCTATACATCAAAAAACATTACTAAAACAAAAACAATGCATCCATTACTGTGATCTTTCATGAGTCACGTGATAAACCACAAACTTAATATTTACAACACAATTTGTATACGGATTGTGGATCTAGGGTAAGGTGTGGGAGACCGATATATCGGTCTGGCAGGGTGTGGATTTTTGATGCACAGGCCGATAAAGCGGGATCACAGGTTCAAAGGGTTAATATTTTAATTCTATACTTAAAAGTTGTGATATAAATTATATTATTTTCTAATTATTTTCCTTATTCAGACAGAATTATCTATTTTGCATATATGTTTTTGCACTATTATGTTATCTCTAAACCTTCATAACTTTTTTTGTATTTTATTAGAAAATGTTAGGTTTGGTATGGAATTAAAGGGGAATGCCTGCTCTTTACAGACAATACAGACTTAGATATAATTTTAATATATAAATGTGATAAATACAAATTTTAAATTTAAAAAAAATTACCAAATGATTGCAAAACACTCATTCCAAATCCCACAAAGAGAAAATTATAATCCAAAGTGTAACAAAACTATTTTTTTTCTGCACTATATCCGTATGTGCATCATGAAGAATAAAGATCACATTAAAATAAGACAAAATGAAACACCAGAGCACATTATCCATTTTCACAACCGCACACAAAACATCAGAAGAAAAAAAACTAAGGCTTTTCACTGGAAACAATTTGTTGCTACCAGATAATAATTGCACTTGAGGGTTATTTTTCTAGATTTTCTCTGGTCTTCTGGCTCTGTGAGTTTATAAAAGGCTAAATTTTACAGTTATTTTCTGTGGCTTGTAGAGAAGAGTGATACAAGGCTTTGAATCGTTCTCTCTGAAACATTTTGACATACCAGGGTGTATACTGTAGAGAACCTTATGACCGTCTCTTAACTATTTTATGTGGATGGTAACCTCGTTCACTCTTGACTCTCGTACTGCACAATCAGGTAATAACACATTGATGGTTAGACTTCACTTTAATGATCTGCTCTACTGTTCACATTCAAGACCTTGACTCTGCTCTGACAGTCGCATTTGTCTCTCTATCTTGTTACTGTCTTCTCACGTCTGTCCTCGGCTTCACTCTTGACCGTTCTCCCTCAACCACTATATCTCAACTGGGCTCTAATTTCGAGTGTCCCCAAACCTCTAGCTTATATCCAGACCTCATCATATGAGAAACTACCCACCACTAGAATCCCACGGTTATTGGCTTGCTACGTTAATAGACACCACATTTTCCCAAGCCAGATCCATTACCCCCAGAAACCTATTCAATGTCTCTACCTAGGGTCTGCATGGACATTTCTCAATTGACAGCTGACTGCAAGAAGTTATTACTCTGATTCGTAAGTGTTCGTGGCTTGGTTCCCAGGCCCCTGTCCTAACATAACCCATCTAAAAATGCCAAAGTCGACCCTTGCTCCCCTATTTTCACGTTGACCGGCACCTGCACCCAGACTGGTCAACCATCGCACTGTGGGCTCAACCCCCCCCCCCCCCCCCCCCAAACCATCTACTACACATGCCGAACTCTTTACAATACATCTCATTGACCAAAAGTCAGGAACAAATGGACAAGAGTTCATCCCCATCATTGTTGTTACTGCTAGAAATTTGTAAGTCAAATTATAGAGAGGTTTCCAGTCTCTGAAACTCTAGATTTCTTGCATGTTGGGGTGTTGATTTTAATTCTGAAGGAATCATTCTCATTTATTGAGAGTACAAGCTTGTGTATAACATGTGTGTCTAGCAAAGTAAAAAAAACAGTCAAGTTAATTTGTCTTACTATTCACAAGCTCGAAATTGACACATACATTTTCAAAGGTAAAAATCTGAAATTGCACTCAGTTTTAGTGCCAAAATCTGCAGCTTTCCAATTAGAATCTACATTAATTATAGTAGGAAAAGTATTAGCTCTCCTACAAGGCTTTTTATCTAGGGGCGGAGCTGGTTGTTCATCAGCTGATGAGTTATCAATTTCATTATTACTTTCGTCACTAGTAATACAACTGCTAGGATTATAAGATTCCTCAGTCAGCCTCTGCAACTGAAATCATGAAATCACTGTGTGAATCGTCATCAGTGTAATATTTGCTACCTTTATTAGATCAATCACCAGATGGGCCAGAATGAGATATCATGTTTCTATACAAAAATAAAATAGATAATCAAAACAACTGCTTTAAACACTTCGTGCTCTGTAAAAATGCTCTGTAAAAACTCGTTGAAAGAAAATCCGGATGGTTATGAAAGGGAAATCATTCTAGATTTGGTTAAAATAAAAATAATTTAAAACAAATAGGTAAGAAAAGAAAACAAAATGATTTTTATGCATCGATGAATGATTATTCAAAAAGAAAAATTGTTTTTGTATGTCATATGATGAGTTCAAACATTTTTAATGGCCCTTAGGCCAGTACTGAGCCACACAGACTTTCCTTGAGAAAAGGGAAACAATGAAAGAAGTGTTTATATATGACGTGAAGTGCTGACGAAAGAAGTTGGCATCAAGTTTGCGTGGAACTTTGAGAAACTTTCTCCTTTACAAAGTCTAACTTGGCACAAATTACATCCATAAACGTTCTCATGTGTCCTCTTTCTTTTTCCAAATTGTTTCTTGACTGAACAGAAGTAGCAATCAAGTTTATTCCCAACTATTCTTATCAGGCGATGCTAAAGCAAATCAGCATTCCCTACTCCTTGAGAAGCTGGTTGATTATTGATTTTCTCTTCCAGCTGATGTTGCCTTTCAGCAAAGATGAGCTAAGGCTTAAGTGATACTCCTTATGGGACAGCGTTTTGTTTTTTGGATGGGGTCTGTGGGGACTGGAGTACTGTTGCTTGCTTCCAATATGTGTCCACTTCAGCAGCCCTTTGTTGACATTGTTCAGCATACAGATTTGTTTGGTTTACTACGCTTGTATAAAAGGCTTCTGGTAGTAAAGACTGAAACAGTCAAATGGCTCTGCATTTGACTCTTAATTCGTAGGTTACGCTTCATGTGTTTCAGTGTTGTTTGGGAATCGGTAAATAGAACTAATTGAGCTCGGATTATTTGTCTTTCCTGAAAAGCCTTTTGGAGGCTATTTATGGCAAAATATATGGCCTAAGCCTCCAGGGAATTTACCACATGTGCCTTTGATCTCAGTGGTTTTTACTGCTCCGTGAATTTTATGACTATTCCAAATCCTGCACCTTCCTTACTGACAGATCTGTCTGTGTAGACGTGGATGCTTTCCAGCGGGTATGTTTTGATGATATCCATCACTCTGACTTTCTGGGTTTGTTTCACATTCCGCCGGAGGGTTTTCCATTCCTTCATTTCCAGGGGGATAATTTTATAATCTGGTCTTGATTTTTGACACAGACCCGATTTTCTTTATGTTCTCTGGTAGTTCTACCTTTCCCTCAAGGTGTCACCCCATTTTTAGGAATGGGTCTTTTCCTGTGCAGTTTTTCACAATGTTTCATGTCGGTTCGTGCATTGGATCTGTGTCTTCCAATTTTCTAAATCTTTCAAGAACATTAGCACCGCTCGTTCTCTTTTTAATTGCATTGGTTGTAGGTTTATAAATGTTTTGCCAAGTTCGGCTAGTCTTTTTCTTGACAATATTGAGTTTTTTGGTACCTGCCTGTGCCTATTTGTCCATAAACTTGTGCAATTGCAGTTTGGGGTCCAGCGTTACCCCCAGGTATTTTGAATTTTTTACCTTCTGCAAGTCTCGCCCATGGTAAGTGAGCTGCATCTGTACTTGTTTTATGTTTCTGCATAAAGTATATAGGCTGTATACAGTTTTTTGGCCATTGACATTGATTTTCAAAAAGATTCATAAGCATTACAATTAATCATTAATTTAAATGTTAATTAATAAGTATTTACACCAGAGAAAAAATACATTTGGACGATTTCTTCTTTCTTTTTTCTATATGAGAAAAGTCTCTATCATTCGGAAGGTACGTATGTCCCTTGAAGAGAAAAATATGGTGTATGGATTTGTATACACCATCTTTGGCCAATTCAAACAAAAAGTTCATCACTGCCTTATTTTTGTTTTGGCCGGCGCACCCATCTGAAAACAAGATGAGGTGATCAGCTCTGTGTGTTTCATGCCTTTTCAATAGAGTTTCATGAAGGCAGAAGCAGACTTCAGATGACCCCCTCCCTGCCTCTGCCGCCTCTGCCTCACTCCACATATGCATAATTCCGTCTTCAGTTTTTGCGTCATGCAATCCAAAGTTGTACGTCCATAACATATGCGAGTAAAACATATCTCCAGCAGTTAAAGTAGGAGCAGGAAGGTTCTGTTGA